GGAAAGCCATGATGTCATGAAAGGACATGTCATAAAAAACAAATGATTAGCAAAAATGACTTGTTCCACTTTGAATTCTGCACTTAAATTCTAGAATTAACAAGTAAATGTATATTTCCATGGTAGTCTCAATGTTAGTTGAATAGATATTAACTTGATAAAAAATTAACTTGATTAGAGGTTAATTTTTATTCACACCCCCACCTCTTAAGAGGAAGAGATAAATTACAAGGAAGTGACATAAAAAATGTATCTTGAAAAACTTGTTTTGTAGAAACTTGTCTAATCTTAATTTAATACTGCTATAAATTGTTTTGATGTTGCCTCTTTGCAACTCTTGGACATGACTTTCTTGTACTTTTAACAATGTTCAAGCAGATTAATTTGTGATACAGAATCATACTTATTGTGATTAGCACAGAGCAAATCCAAAGTGTGTCAGTAATACCTATTGTGACTACCACAGAGCGAATCCAGAGATGTGTCAGCAAAGTCTATTGTGACACGCACAGGGTGAGTCCAAAAAAGGTGTCAACAATGCTTATTGTGACTGACACTGGGTGAATCCAAAGAGGTGTGTCAATGATACCAAGTGTGACTATGCAGGAATTTTCTGTATTAATCAACTTTGTTTAATAAATGTCCAAATCTGTACCTTTTCAACTATTTTAATGGCTCTTTCTTTTTGAGCTTCCAAATGGAATCTAATTTTCCTCCACACTTTTATTTTTAGTTTCTATAGGTCAGTAATATAAACATTTTATGAAAAAGTATCATTTGAACTAAAATTTAGGATGTATTTAGAATTTCTCTTATTCTCTAGTGGTGAGGGATACTAAAAAGTGCTTTACTTGACCCACTTTCTGAAATCTGACCAAATCATCAAATGTCTTTTTTTTTTCTCTTCTTGGTCAGGCCAAGAACTTTTCAGTACTTCCCTTCCTGGGATGCCTTACTGACTTGGCCATAGAACAGTTGTTCAAGCAAGACCAAATTTTCTGCTTTCAAGTGAAACTTCTCTTGTTATAGATCTCTCAAAGTTTTTCACATTTGCAGAGTTTTGTATCCAAAAACATCTCCAAAGGTGTTAATTAGATCCAGTGACAGGACCCAAAGAGTGTGAGTTCAATATCCAGTTAAGGCAGTGGTGAACTTGGAGAGGTGAATTAACAGGAGATAATTGACAACTGACGTCCCTTAGAACATGGCACATGGAACTAGAACAGTCTACTCCAGTGAGCGAAATAAAGGGTTCGGTTCGACATTCCAACCACCTGAAGAAGGCCGGAGTGTACAATGTCCAAAACATAATAAATATGAGGACAATAGTCTGAATAATGTAAATAGTATGCAAACAAATATATCAAGAAATAAAAATAAAATGGTTGAATCCGACTTCACAACAATCCAAATAATATTTCTACATATGAAAAATACTCTTCAAACATAGGGTAAATGACATAATTTTTCAGTTGACCTAATGAATATATACGAGCCTTTCTGAATTCTTCTAGTAACTAAGAACTTTTTTTTTTTTTAATTTTTTACGGACACTTTGTTCAAATAAATTTTGTTTTTGGCTTTTGTTTGAAAAAGGCCACAGTGGACGAAATGCATCTGCTCAAACTACATACAGTTTTCCTATTGTCTTTATATATATATATATATATATATATACACACAAACCCACTACACTTATTAATATTGTAGTCCCAAAGAAATTTGTACATAAAGAAATCTAGACAGTAGCTACTAAAATATTATGAGGTATGCTGAAAAGTTCATGGCCCAAAAAAGAAAAAAAAGAATGAATTTAAAAATCATTGTTTTGTGAGCTGATCTGAAAGATAGATTTAATTTTATATTCTGCATTTTTGTATATATCAACATATTAAGGTTAATTCACAGTATTGTATTTTTGTTTGTAAAGCAATAATAAAGAAATCCTAAATGCATTTCTTTTCATTGAAGCCATTCTAATCATGATTGAATCCTTTTCATCCACAAATTTCTACTTAAAATTCACCATGGCACTTTGATTTTTTTTTTTTTTTTTGTCTTTGTTCCTCCTAAGTGTTATTAGAGAACTTCCTTCAAATGTTAGCATTTAGTTAACCTTAAAAGATGACAAATAATGCTTTTATAACTTTGTGTTAGAAATTCATTTGTCAGCTCACTGCCTGTGAGTAACTTTTGATTGCTTCCTTTATTGCTTCAATTGACTCTATGCTTTCTCCTCCTCCTTGCAGACAAGCATAGATCTCTCGTCTTCATATAACTCTTGCATAAAGTTTTCTGGTTTGTCCTACATATCTCTGCTACTCTATGTAATGTCAGATTTACCACATAAATTTGTTGGAAATTTACTCAAGTTTATAACTTGGTCTTATGCTACTAATTTTAATATTTTTTATACTTTATATATTTCTCTTTTAGTAAAATCTTTCTGGCATTTGACATTAAAAGGTTGTAAGCAAAACTTTTCAATTAAAATGTATGTCAAACAAAAGAAATCATTGGGTTCATCTTGCTAATTTGGAGATTAATTTAAGCATGGAAATGTTTTTGATATGAGACATTAAAGCAGAAATAAATTTTACTATAATTTCTGGGATCTCCTTATGAGTGGTGCAAATGCTGCATTTAACTTTTTATTTGTAACAGATTGTTTAGAAATTGAAATAATTAAAAATATTAATTTTTCTCTTTTAGAATTAAGTAATATTTTTTAAATTAGTATGTGTAAATAACTTTTTCATCTTAAATGAAAATGTATGCACTTGCAAATTTAGTATTTGGCCCATTTTAAATTAAAAATTATCATACACTTAGCAAAAAATGTTGACTTGTGGGATTTAAAATTTCAGTTTTTGGTGAGAATATATTTTTTTTTTTTTTAAATCCTATCTTATATACTGCCAAATTCATCTGCACTTTTAAGTGTGTGTTTGTAATATAAGAAAAGATGCATGACAAAATGGAAAAGTATTTTATGACAAGTTTTATCCATTAGGACTTCATCGGACTTATATATATATCTGTGTGTGTGTGACTGAGGTAAAGTTAAAATAAGTCAACATTTACTCACTTTCATTTGTTAGGTATTAAATTACATAGTTTATGTTACCTTTTCTTTAGCCTGAAGAATATTTGAGTGTTCATATATTTAAAAATTTTGAAAATCTAACAATTTTTTTTACTTTTTGTTTATAAATACATGTTAAATAAAATGTAAAATCCTTACATTTACCATGATAAAATCCCTCAGTGGATGAAACGTATTGGTAAAGAACAGTTGCCCTTTTGTCTATACACACACACATTGCACTGCAAAGCCCAACAAGACGGAATGAGGAGGAATAGGAAAATTGTAATGGGACACAGTGAAAATTAAACTTGCTACACTAGCAAATCTTTGTAAGAATTAGTCATTAAGATCCTACAGTATGCATTCTTATATTTCTGTGGTATAACAGTTTAGAGTAGTGGTGTGTAGGATACAGCAGTGTGTGCTACAAAAAAGTATACTAAGTGTGTAAAGCACATATATGTTTGTGTGTGTGGTTAAATAATATTAACAAGTCCTATCAATCCAACTTTTTCAAATTTCTGAATTAGTTGTTTTATATAATCAGTAAATTTACCAAAGTTATTTTTCTTTTATACCCTGAGCCTGTATTTTCAAATGTTGCTATACTCATTTTTGAGGATTGTCTATTTATGTAACAGTTGATGTTATTGAGTGTTGGCCAACATTCAATAACATCAACCATGAACACAACCATAATGTGCTGATTGTATTTGGAAAATAAAAAAAAAACATTCCTATAAATCTAGATACATACATAAAAGAAAAAACTGCACATAGTTACAAATAAAATTAAAATCATCTTTGATAATAGCTAAAAGAATAGCTGAAAGCACTCGGACATACAAAACATTTGGACAATTTTTACAAATTTTATTGCCAGAAAAGAAAAAATTATATGAAAACACAAAGTTAAATAAAAAAAAAAAAAAAAAAATTGCATTACCTTGTCAGTCATCATTAATGAAACTTGTATAAGACAGTGATTGCTTCCCAAATACACACACTCAAGTGTGAGAAGAATGAACTTCTATTTGCAGGTGGTGTAGTGGATAACGACTTGGAATTAGATAACTGAAAAAGAATTGACTTCAGTGCATTGAAAATGAAAAAAAAAAAAAGAATTCTGGTAATCATGCTGAAAATACCGGTTCTCATTTAATCATTGTAGTCAATGTTGAGCCCAGTCAGTACTCAGATTGGAGAGGGGGGGCTGCTTGGGACCGCCAGGTACCATAAGCATCACCTACAATCTGAAATTTTTATGCTTTATCAATTTGTGAGTTTTATTTAAATAAAATTCACAAATTGATAAAGTATAATATATATATACTCGTTAATTTACTGAATAAAAAAATGTAATAATATTCTGTAGTTTAACTTATTTTCTATCTAAAATATATAAATATTTTTTTTTTTTTTTTTTTTTTTTTTTTTGTGCATGAGGGAGTATGATTTTTATAATCATATCTCAAGATGCAATGTTATTGTTTAAGTTAGACATTACTTCAGTTTTAAACCTGCAGAAATGTATTGATGGAAAAGAGGAATAATTGCATTTATTTTACTTGTCATCAGTGGTGAAAAGTTCTTGGCCTGACCAAAAGGTTCTTCAGAAAATTCATCTAATATTTGGTGAGAAGTGGTTTGGTAACTTTTCATGCCTCTGTATATTTGAAATTTGATTTGGTTATGAAACACTAATATTTCTTGAATAAAAACTGCAAAACCATTTGAATAATTACTTTCAGAATAATTTTTGTAAAAATAAGTAACCTGCTGGAATAATATCTAACGATTTTCTCAGTTTTACATTTTGAAACCACTTTAAGTTTTATGTGAAATTTTCTTTTAAAAATTATTACTGAGAGGAAAAACCCTAAATGTCAAATATATTCTGTATATTTTGCAGAAACTGAAGAAAGCAGAAGATCTCTCTGTTATTGGATGTAAATTGTCTGTATTAGAAGCACGAAAACCAGAAAATCGCAACAAAAACCGATACAGAGATGTCAGCCCATGTAAGTGACTATTGCCATCATATTTTGGTTACAAGTTGAATATTCTGTTGTGACAGCATTTTTGATTTTTCAATGGTTATGTCATTCACAAAGAATTAAAGCTTTTTATGAAATGGGTTAAAGTTTTGTCAAATTTTCTTTTCTTATTTAAAAAAAAAAATTAATTGGATATGAAAATAAGTTTTTATTTTGTTAGAATTTATTTTTTATCTTTATTTTTTTTATTTCTGATGACAGATGAATGTTAATGCTTGGTGATAGTGAAGTGAGTCATGAATAAAATTCTTGTTGACAATATCTCACCTTTTTGATTTGTGTGTTAATGCATAATTACTAGTTTTCTATAAGCTTAAAATGTGCATTTGTATATTTTAAATACAAGAGGAATATATATATATATTTTTTCAACATTTATCTAATACTTCAAATATTGCAGTTGTTCAGAAATAGGTTTTTAATACCCAATTTACATTTAAAGCTATATCTAGTTTGAAGACATGCAACATCAGTCATCATCTTCTGTGTCCTTGAATCCTGTTCTTTTTTATTGTCCTTTCTCCTCAGTAACATTTTCTCATATTCCCTCATGCTATTCTCTTTCATCCTTTGTAACCCTTTGCATATTAGTTGCTTTTATTACCTTAAATGGTAAAATGATTTAAAAAAAATAAAAAATCTGTTTATAAGATATTTTGAACTACTGTTGCATTATCTTATTTAGTTAACTGGAGTTGAGCAGTCTTTATGAAGCAACTTCTAGACAATAGAGAGAGAGAGAAAAGAAAGCGGCTGTGGATGAAAATACATATGAAACTTTTGCTCCAGGGCCATACTTAGACCTTAAGAGGCTCCCTGAGCTAATAAAATTTGGGAGCCCCTTTATTACCTATATCTATAAAAAAAAAAAATATTTTTTAGATGACATTTTTTTGCTGTAAAACATTAAATACTTCAACTAAAATTTTTAATGGTTTTGGAACTCATCCAGTTTATTCCATTATCAACTTAATAATATTTTTATCTGAGATTTACACCATATATATAATTGCACAGATTATCTTATTTTGTACAATATCAAGCAATTTTTCACTTATTAACATATATTGGTTCAATGAAGTGTAAAATAAAATATTTTAAAAGTAGATATGCAAAACTAAGAAAGCTACATCAAAAATCTGTATGTATATAAAAAAGATGCATTAAAATTTAAATGAAGAGGCTCTTGAAGAGAGCCCCCATCGAATTTGAAAAACCCACTCAACTAGAAGGACTTAAATACTATAAATTGTTTCAAATTAGTTCAAATAAACTCCACTAAATCTGAAAATAAACAAATCTCTGTTCTTATATCTTTAGTTTTATCAGGGGCTGCAGCCGATACTAGCCCATCTATAAATCTGGCACTGCTCCACTGGAATAACAAGTCAAATGCTATGTAAATAAATAAATAAAAAAAAAAAAAAAAAAATTTCATTGTGTTGATTGAGAAAGAGACTCCCATTTACTAACTTTGAAAATTCTTTAGGCAACTTTCTTCACTAAGGAAAGCATTTTTTTGTTTTTTACCATTGAAGTTGACTCCAATTGTCAAATAAAAGTATATTTAAATTTCACAGTTGTTGTCACATCCTGCTACAGCAACAACAAAAAACAACTTTGACTTAAAATCAGGATCAAGGCTACTGCAGTTTGCATTTAAGGAGCCACCATCTATAGTGGAAAGAGAAATAATATTTAGGAATAATGTAGAAGGCTAAAGGTTAAAACCTGAAATATTGCTGGAGTGAACAGTAAGAAAAATGCATGCAAAGCAATTGGCTGGAATTTCAGTGCTGGTCTGCCCAAATAAATAACTTTCCCTCTTTGTCTTGTTAAACTTAATTTATTCTCTCATTGGCTTCCTGTAGTTTACAATGCATCTCCAGCATTATCTTGTAACACTCGTTATTTACTGTATCACATCTCACCTGCTTAGGTATGTAAGTTATGCTTTCAATGTTTAGCCTCCTATTCATAATACCAACATAATGGATACTTATACTTGGATTTCTTTTTTCTTTTTAGTGTCTTATAGACCATCAAATGCATTAATACATACAGAATAGTATAAGCCAACAAGATACTTATTATTCCTATCAAATTGAATATTTTACATTTGGTTGCTTTGAAAATGTCTTTACTCTTTAAATATCTGAAAATTAAAAAAAAATCTTGTATAACTGCCTTATTGCTTTTAACAGATGATCACAGCCGTATCACTTTGGAGTCTGATTCCCAAAATGGATTGGGAGATTACATCAATGCAAACCTCATTAAAATTGAAAAGGCTGATAGAAGATACATCCTTACACAGGTTGGAAAATTTAAATATAAACAATTTTGGATTGAAATTACAGTGTCACTCTTTCTAAAATACTTTTCTTATGCTTTATAAAGTTTTCCACTTTGAATTGAGTTGGTTATTACAATAATATTAGTATAGAGCTAGGGTAAGATAAAAATATACTACTGTTTAAGAATAATGTTTAAGAAAATTTTCTTTGAAATTTGGACAAAAGCCTTTCAAACTGTGCTTAAATAATTGTGAAAATTTTTACATGTTCATATGGGGTTTTTATGGAATATTTTAGCCCCCCCCACTTTTTATTTCACAATTGATCATGGATGCTTTAATCCAGAAAATAATTAATTTAATCTAATAGTAATTTTTTTTTTTTTGTTTTTTTTGTGTTGCATTTTTTAAGGAAATTCTTCATACCAAAAGTGATTTGATAGGTGTTGATTGGTGTGTTGCTGGGCATGTTAATAACTCTTTTTGTTTACTCAAATGACTTGGGTGATTCAACAGGACTGTTTATGAACGTTTTTTGCACCATGAAATTTTACCGAAGAGAAAACTACAATTCCGAAGAATCTCTGGGATTTTGTTGGTCTTAAGCAATTACTTATCTTTCATCAGACTAGTGCTATAAACTCAAAAACCAAGAGAATTACCAAATAACAAAAATCTGAAATCACTTGAACACTTCCAATATGACAAAAGTGACTAGCACGGGCAACTCAAATAGAAAATTATTTAATCAAGTTGTTAACTTTACACAGTACCAAAAGCAAAAAGGTTTGGAAAGATACTTCCATCAATGTTAGAAAGAGCTGTAAGAGTGGACTTGAGAAATATAATTTCCTGAGAAACTGTTTTAATAAAAAAAAAAGGTTTTATAAATCTCAACCGACAATAACACTAACTGTTGAGTCAATGAAGGCTGAATGTTTTCTGTATGAAAACGGTTAATATTACAATAACTGAAAAAGGATTAGAACATTTATTATGTACACTTTGAAGTGTACATAATAAATGTTCTAATTTTTGTTGTCTGTATTAAATTTTCTTTATAAATAATTTGCAAAAAGCTACTGAAAATCTTTTAAAAATAGATTTGCAGTTAATTACTTTCAGTATTTTAATTTTTTTTTAATATTTCTTTATTTTTGGGCATCAGTGAATGCTTTTATAAACAAAAATTAAATCTAAATTTATTGAATTTTAATATAAAAAAAACACTTGTCTTTCAAAATAAATACTGATTTTGTATGAAATACTTCAAAAGTTTGATTACTTTGACAATTTATATTGTAATGAAGGCACCTCCACTGAATTTTCAATACTCAACATTTAAAATTAATTTTTAAAAATGAAGCTTTCATTTTAGCTTTAATTGAAGCAAAATACTGTGGTGTATTTTAAATAGAAATTATATTGATTGGAATCTCAGCTTTTTGGTTGCTTTAACAAAATTAGCCATTTTTGACACATTTGTAAACAAGTTAATTCTTGGTTTTAAAAATCTGCTAAAAATAAAATATACTTTTCTGAAACTTTATTTGAGGAATATTAGCTGAGTTAAAATATAATTAATCTGATTTGAAAAAATATATTACTTTAAGTAACAGAAATAGATTTTTAAAATTAATAGTAGTGGTGATTGGAATGTTGAATTTAAATTTACTTGAGTCATCACTCTTATTTTCTGATTATGTCGTGTATACTTTCAAACATGTAAGTTGTGTAATATTTTATATACATAAAAAAAAAATTTAAATGAAAAAAAAATATTGCAGGTGAACGACTTTTATTGAGCTCAAGAATTTTTGATTTGTAAACAGTTTTCACTTAATAACGATATCACTTAACCAGATTGAAGTAATGCAGAATTTTAAATGATTTATAATATAAATTATTATAATTAAAATTTTAAAAAATGAAAACAATACTTGTAAAACTTCATTATTCACCTAAAAATTTTTTTTCTTAAGACAATAGTCTCCTTAATAAATTTTATTTATAAAAGCAAGTAAAAGCTTTTCTAATTAATGTCATAGATTTACTGCATTTTTTATTTTGAGATGGAAAGGAGTAGTAGTTTGGGGTGGGGGGTTGATTATTTATGTTTCTCAGGGAGTCCTGCTTTTAACTAATAAAACAAACTTTGAGGTTGCAATTTCTTGTAATTTCATGAAATTAAGTTGTGGGGTGGGTAATGTTAAAAAAAAATAAAAAAAATTTTTACCAAGATTTTCTTTAAAAAACAATTTCAAAAATAATTTTATTCAGTCTTGAAGTTTCATTAAAATCTGACAATTATTTGATTTTTGCAAGAATTTCCAAATTGATGTGCTTTTCACCTAAAAAAAACCCCTAATTGTAAATATTATGTTGACTACTGACAAAAAAAACAAAATTTTTAACCAAAATTTTGAACATGCTAGAAATTTAAAAATTTAATAAAATAATAAAAAATACTTTGGTCTTTCCTCTTAATAATAACATACACGTGTTGATGATAAAACTTTGTTTTTATTAAGTTTGGGGCCTTTTTTCATCGTGCTATGCTTGTTTTTTCAGTGAGCAAGTAGAGGTACCTAGTATAATGACATTGAAGGCAAATATTTTTTTTTTTCACTTTAGGGCCCACTGGAACACACTGGAGGCCACTTTTGGCAAATGGTATGGGAACAAAAGACCAAAGGCATTGTAATGTTAAACAGAATAATAGAGAAAGGAACGGTAAGTAATTTTGTCCATAAAAATGGTGTTTTCAATGAATTTTAAATTATAGATTTTCACAATGTGTTTATCATAGGCTCTACAATTTTGTTTTTAGTGAACCATTAGTATTTACTGAACATTAAAATATGTTGAACATTTCTCTAAATATTAGTTTTGTGGTTATGCATTACTGTATTTGCTAGCATCAAGAACAGACCCCAAGTTTAAAGTGCAAAAATGAAAACCTGAAAATAAGGTCTCAGCACTTTCCTCTACCATGCTAAGATATTTTGTGGGTGGTTTAGCAATATTTTGTAGTGCTTTGTGTCTATCATCTTGACCACTTGTGAACTGGATTTTATCATTTTACCCTTACAAAAGACATGCATAAGTTTACTCTCTTAGATGTTAGCTATGTACCCACAGTAGAGCTGGATCAAATGCTCTTGTTTCACAATTCATTGTTCTCCCCAGCAATGTTTTTCCATTCACTGAAATATCAGCTGAAGGCACATTATATGACTGGAGGGGGGAAAATTTCATCTGGACCTACTTTTTTTTTTTTTTTTTTTTTTTTTTTTTGACCCATAGGGTGGAGTGTACAGAAATTAATGTAAATATCAATGTAAAATGATAAAAAATAAATTTCTTTATAAGTATTTTCAAACTAGGATATTCATTGAGGTGAGATAGTGTTACTTGTGTTTAACTTTTTTGATAGTGCTGGTCTGTTGGCTCTCCTACACTTAGTCTGCTGTGGGATCATTCTGTACACATTTTTTTATGATACTTTGCTTATTTACTATCTTAAATGGTGTATAATTTATAAATTTGAGAGATCACATACAAGAATTCAGTTTACCATCTGGCATAGATAATCTTCATTTGGGGGTTAGCATAGGCCTATGAAAACACTAACCTTTGTCTTCAAAGATGCATAACAAATTTTCAAAACTTATTTCAGGAAAAAATACTGCATCTTTGATGCTGGAAAATATAGTATTTCTTATTTTTCTGTTCTTTTAAAGGATTTGTTAAAGTCCTTTTCAAAACATAAATGAAGAGATTCCTTGTAAATTTAAGTCCCTTGTAACAGATTGATGCTTTTTACAATGTGTAAAAAAAAAAAAATTCTTGAAAATAAATCTAACAATGTAGAAATCTATAGTACTCAAATTGAAATTTGAATTTTGTGTTGAAGCATCATTCTTATTTCTGACTAGTTTTTCTTTTGTATCTTGTTGCTTTTTATCACAACATGTGGATCTTTTTTTTTTTTTTTTTTTTTTTTTACATTTTCTTTTTTGGCTTCTAAGTTGTTTGAATCTTGCTGAGAACATTGCTTATCCTCATTTGGGTCCTTTTGCCCGCACATCCACTCCAAACAATGGGAGCTGGCTGTCTCTCTGCTCTGAAAAAAACGGCTATGGCAGTCACCCAGCTGGGCTGAATATTGCTGCTGTCCGTGCAAAAGTGTCATGGCAAGTGTTGTAAGGACAGAAACGTCCTGAATGACAGTCACTGTTCTCAGCAGTTAAGTGTTGCTGCTATTCTGCAATAAAACTCATAAGTCTCCTCATCCTGAAGTTTGAATCAAATCCAGTCCTTTATTCATGGATAGTACCTGACAAGTTAAGCTCTGAAAGCTAACCAGTAGGTGTCATTCAAATTTTACTGGTTAGTTTTCATAGCCTGTTTGTACAGCATTGTTTTGGTCAGAGAAGCCTTCAAGAAAAAAAAAGATTAGTTCAAATCTTTAAATTTATTCTTTATATCTAATCTGTACTGTTTACTTAATGGTACTTGATTTGTCATGTCACATCATGCGTCCAGTAACCTGTTAGAGCTGTAGAGGCACCACATGTACTGCAGCCATAGCAGCAGTAGTAACCTGAAGGAGCCCATCCCTCTTTAGGCCGGTTTTGAATTCGGTTTTCCTTTTAGACTTGTTACCCTCTTCAAGGCAAGAGACCAGTTTTGCCCTGCTTTTTAGCCCATATCTGGTGAGGATATATTCATAACCTTTCCCATTGGTATTTGTGAAAAAGTGAGCCAATTTTCCTTTCTTTTTAAAGGATTTGTTAAAGTTGTCTTCAAAACATAAATGGACTCATCCTTATGAATTTAAGTCCCTTGTAATGGATTAATGCTTTTTACTGCACACCAATTATTATTATTTTTTTTTTTTCCAAGTTGCTGATCCTTAAACCCTTCCTGCATTTACAATTTGTTTATAAAAAGTAACAAAAATAAGATGTAAGAATAACTAGAAAAAAAATTAAATGTTAAAATTATTCATAAGCATATATAATGCATATAAGACCTAATAACTGGCAATATTTATATTTCTGATGCACTTAGCAAATATTCTAATCTTGGTGCTATTCTTAACCTACTTTTGCCAACCCTACATTCAGAAAACCTGTCCACCTGCAGATGTTTCTAACAAATGGTTTCTACAACAGTAAAATGTTGCGTTTGGATGTTTGTTGCATTTTACATTGATATTTAAACACAGCAATTAGAAAGAAAGAGTTGCTTGAAGTCAACACATTGATCTTTAAACTGCTGTTCGTACAGTGGCGGTGTTTGAAAACCTACAAAATGTTTCACTTTAATGTAAGTGAAATTAAATTTTGATTAATCAGTTAGCAATATTAATACCTCTGTCAACTCCAAAACATTTCTGGTTTTAGTCATAATATTTGTGTGAAATAACACAAGATCATAAAGTAAAAACCGTTTATAATAATTGTGGTAGAAATGTATACAAAGATCACAGTAATCTTCTAAACTTGCTTGAATTGTGAGAAAATAGCTAAAGTGTCAGATAGAATGACTTAAATTGACTGGGTTAGTTGTTGTTATAAAATAAATTCTTTTAAGAATAATTTTTTAAATTAGTAATTATTAGACCTTCCTGTTTTTATTTACAAATGTCAAATTTGAACCTGTTTAGGTTATTGATAACTGTGCTATTGATGTTGTCCTCAATTTGTAATGAGATGCAGTTATCAATGATGTAAGCACAGTTTCAAACATGATGTTTGCAAATAAAAACAAAGTATAGATAACTCTTTAAGATGTCGGGGATTGGTTTGAAACTGCATTCATATTATGAAAAGAAACCTCAAAATGATAAAAAAAAAATTCTGATAAATGTTGTGGCTTTTGAAGGTCTAATGAAAGCTAATTTGAAAATTCTTTAAAAAATTTTTTTTTTCTTTTTAATCAGGAGACCAGTCAATTTAAGTAGTTAAAGATTGGTCCTGAATTGTTTTAAAAAGATCATAAAATGAGACACCTGGACATTCATTTAACATTTGTCATTTGAATTTGATTATTCAAAATAAAACCAGAAAGAACTCTCAATATATAACAAGGAAATTAAGAACTAAATGATATATTTATAATATTTTAAATGAGGTGTTTGAAAACCCAATGGTACTAATTTGGTGGCAATGCCCCACAGTATTAAGAGGGTTAATCGATTTCTTGTTGGTACAAAACTTAAATGTCAAATGAATAAGCAAAGTAATGTTGAAAATTACTATTCAAAGAAAATAGTCATTTTTAACAGGTCTTCATTTCTTTATACTCCACTAATTTAAATCAACATAACTAAATCTTCAGAAGTGACTTTTCATCTTGGCAAAAAAATTTTTAATATTATGAAAATTATTTTTAAAAATGCTTAATAAGTTTACGAAAAAATAATGGGCTAAGAAACTTAAAAAAATTTGTAAAAATATTTTCTGGATCTAACATTCTAGCAAATTACTGTGTCCTGGGTATGACGATAAACTGCATCCAGCAGCAAGGCCTCTCATCAGGAGGTTTTGAGGAGCATGGAACTGCCTCTTAGTCGTTGTTGTTCCTGGGGTGGAAAAATATTACCAGAAATAGATTTAAAAAAAAAAATATTACCAACAATAAAAATTTTGTCGGCATTAAATAACCCATTGCGGTCGATATGCCATAAAACCAAAACGAACCAAACCAAATCTAACAAATTACTAGCCAAATTCTCATCTTGCGAACATTTCTCTTGACCTTTTATCACTCTGTATGTGACTTCATTTACTGTAGAAAAAGTTTATCCTACCACTGAACATGACTGATCCCTGAATAAAAGAGTGTTTGAATTTCATAGTCGTGTGATCATATCCTGCTATGGCAACAGAAAACAACTGAAATTAGCAATAAGGATACTGCAATTGGGAAGCTTTGATAAAGAATACAGTAGAAAGGGAAGTAATATTAATAATGCAGAGTGCTTAAGGTTAATAATAGTTTTAAAATAATTCAGCAGACGATCTTATGTTATTTATGGTAACTGGATTTTTGTGGCAATTACCTTACTCAGTTTCTGTCGTTCAATATTGTGTGTCTGAAAAAATGGCCCTTTTATCACAGTTGCCATTAATTCTTGGCCTTTTGGCTAAGATAAGGAGTGTAGTGTCTGTTTGTATTAGCTTAATCTGATTCTCATTTCTATGTTCCCTTTCTTTCTTTCATTTTCTCACTGAAACCAACTAGTTTTTTTACCCCCTCTTTCCATGCAAACAAAACTGAATAGTCCATTATTTATGAGGTATTGGTAGGGCTTAACAGTCGTACGAACTAACGAAGAGCGGGACAAGCACAACCATAATAGGATGTTTGTTTTATATTTTCAGGTAAAATGTTATCAGTATTGGCCATTAAATCAAAACTTTGACCATGAAGATGATGAAATGATATTTGAAGATGTTCAGATGATGATTAGTCTCTTAGATGAGAAAGAAACTCCAAATTACATTATTCGGACACTGGAATTAAAGAACCTGGTGGTAAGTTTGACTTCATGATCAGTTTAATTCAAAAGTGTTATGAATAAAATAAAATCTACACTTGTTTGCTTACAATTATTTTTCACCTGTAAAAATTGTCAAAGACTAAATTGCTTTATCTGTTTATAACAATGTAAACAAATGTAAATTTTCTTTTCTTTTTTTTTTCTCTTTTGTATTTGTAAATTGGCACTTTAGTTCATTCATTTAATTGAATAAAACTAAATACTTAATTTCCCATGGAAATTTAATAATCAGCTTTGAAATTTCTTTTGAGTGATTTTCTTTTTAGTATTAAACAGTGTTTTTATATAAACATCTTTTCCAACAATAAAGTCTTGTAAAATAAGCTTTTTCATAATTTACTATAAGTTGTGAGATGTCTTTAATCTAGTAACAAGAATAACTAAAATTTTCACATTGTTTTTAAATTTGCTATAAGTTGATAAAAATATAAGTCGACATAAAAGGGAAAGATTATATTGAATCAAAAGCTAAGAAATTTGGTTCACTGTATCATGCTAGACTATTCTTCTCGCTATAATCGATCTTGCACATTTAGAATACAATTATTTGTCCATGTATTGAATATTGCTGCCACATTTGGTCTGGTGCTTCTATTTATTTAGAGATTCTTGATAAAATCCAAAGGAGAATCTGTAATGTTATCATTCCTGAACTGGCATCTCTGCTTCACACACTTTCCCACTGCTGTAACATAACTTGCCTGCGTCTTTTGTATAAATATTTTCATGCTAATTGTTCTGATGAGCTTTCCTCTTTGGTACCTCAACTGTACAAATTTAAGTGTGGTACTAGATTGGCAACTAGGTCTCCTCATTTTACAGTTGAAATGGCTGGATGTAACTGTATGTTCTTGCTAACAGTTTCTACTCGTGCACTTCTCACTTGTGGAACTCTCATTTGGCTGCTTGCTTTCCAATCAACTTTGATCTTCAAAAATTTAAATGCAATCTCAATCATTATCTTTTGTTTTCTTAATTCCTGTTCTTTTATTGTTCTCTCTCCTTGATGTTTTTTTTTCTCATATTCTCTTACATTCTAATCCCTTGTCTTATTGATTTGCCTGAGGTGAAATGATTTAAAAAAAAAAAAAAAAAAATCTTAGAGTGCCCATACATGGTTGCAGATGTCATTTTTTTTCCATCAAATTTCAATGACACCATTTATGGGGTTAATTTAATGGCATATTAAATTTCATAGTCATAATTCATTACTCTTTTCCATGTATATTATCTATTTTTTTTTTTTTTTTTTTTTTTTTTTAAAAAAAAAAAGACATGATAAAAATTAATGCTCATCTGATGTATAACAAAGCTGTTATAAAATATGTTCTAACAGGACAATGGATACTAAAAAGTTAATCTGTATCTGTTAATCTGTATCTGTTAATTTTATATTTTTGGGGTAATATTAAATCTTTATTTTGTGAATACAAAAGGAAATTATTTTATTGTGATATCAAAGACATTTAAATTACTACATATTGAAAATCTGACAGTATTTGAAAATGGCTTGTTTGATGAGGATATTTCAATGAAAATATGTGAAAATTTCATTGTAATTATAAATAGTTAATTTTATATAAGATCTATTTTCATACACTTTAGTTACATTAAAATTGTCTGCATTTAAAGCACATTATTTCTAATAAATTTTAATGTCACTGCTTCATTGGCTTATTTCACAACCACCTGAAGTGAAATTACTTACTACTTACATTTTATTAAATTCTTTTTTCATGCTTAGTTTTAAAACTTTCATATGAAATTGTTGTTTGTTCAGTTCATCTGCAAAATTTGAATTGTATTAAGTCAGCTTTGTTGTAATGTTATTTTATTTATTTTTTTATTTTTGCAGACTAATGAGTTTCGGGAAGTTCTTCATTTTCAGTACACAACATGGCCAGATTTTGGTGTACCATCTTCCCCTCTAGCTTTTTTAAACTTCTTAATGGCTGTGAGGGAATCTGGTTCACTCGACAACAACTATGGACCTTGCATTGTTCACTGCAGTGCAGGAATTGGTCGATCTGGGACATTTTCTTTGGTTGATTCAGCTTTAGTAATAGTGAGTCCATTTTCTTATTTGTAATTTTTCTTTTCTTTTTTTTTTTTTTTTTTTTTTTTTTTTTTTTCTTGATTCATAGTTTATCTTTTCATAAACTTGCCGTCTATGATTTTTTTAAAAATGGTAAACAAGTAAGATTTGCTGCTGGTTTACCCAACTCTGGCTGATAATTGCTTTCTCAGATCAATGATTAAAAATGGCTTCCAGCAAATGAAGACTATAGGCCTTAGCAACGACCATCATTCTTTGAACCTTGTGGACTGGCGCTACAGAATCACAAAGAAAGAACTGTACCAAATAACAGAAACCACATCACTTGGGGGGCTTTCAAATGCAGCAACAACTAAAATGGATATCACATAACTCTAGAGAATAATGACCATTAAAATACTGATATTCCACACTACCTCAAACAAAAGCAAGGAAGGAAACCCTTATCAATACTGGAAAGAGCAATAACTCAAGAAACCTGTATTTTTGAAAATTTGTTTTAAGAGAAAGATTTTATACATTAGTCCTTATAATATACTGCAATTTCATAAAGAACTCAAACTGTATTCCAAAATATAACTTCAACAAAACTGCAACATATCACTGCCTCTAGTAATCATGTCCACACCAGCATGATCAAAAGCTGGGTATCATCTACCATGTATTAAATTGTGAAAGCAGAATAACATATATCATTTTTGTTACTTTAAAGCTCTCAAGAAAATTAAATTTCGGCATTAAATGACCCATAAAGAGTTGATGTGCCATTAAACAAACAAACCAAATTTTTATAATGAAACTGCTAATATTACCATTACCATCAAAATCTGATGTATAACTCATTGATATCCTTGTAAATAAGTAATTATTATTTCTTTTCTCTTTCTCTCTTCCAGGTAGAAAAGTGTCGAAGTATGGATAGTATCAATGTAGAAGATCTTTTGCAAGATATGCGTTATTATCGAATGGGCTTAATTCAAACACCTGACCAGTTGCGTTTTTCTTACCTGTCAGTGATTGAAGGTGGTAAACACATATTAAGTAACCTTCCTCCACTGGAAGATGATCCTCTGGTAAGATTAATATTAGTCTGTTATTTTTATAAAATCCGAGAATGAGAGTATTGTATAGAATGGAGAATTATTCCTTCTCTCTCTTCTTTTTTTTTTTTTTTTTTTTTTTTTGTTGAAAGATGGAAGCTTATGCTTAAAGATCTTACTGAAATACCTTTTATTTTTTACCTTTTTTCTTTTCTCATTCCTTATCATGGCTTACAGCCATATCATGTTGAAACATTGGTTCCCATGCGATCACTGAAGTTAAGCAGCATTCAGCTTGGTCACTACCGAGATGGGTGATTGCTTGGGAATACTTGGTGCTGTATGGTGTAATGGATAATGGCTTGGAATTGTTAATAGGAAAGCCGAGTTCTAATTCCCATTGTGTTTGTTCACTTATGGGCAAATATCCATTGGAAAAGTATGAATCCAGCTCTTCTTCCCCCCCTATCTATGGGGTAATTAGTAAGACTTGTATCAAAATTATCTCCAAAATAAAATTCTTATGATCTAAAAATATCTTTTGGCTTTAAATAACTTGCAAAGGGTTGATAAGCCGTATAAAGTGAATCAATCTATAAATCAAATCCCTATCACAAAATAACAATGGCAAAACTTAACCTATGTTAAAAAGTGGTGTGGGAAATGGATGATTATTCTTTGACACCACTATTACGATATACTCTCTTGACTCCCTTGGCAATGTTTATTGTCGTAAAAAAGAAATGATTAGAATTTTAATAAAACCTTCAAACATAAATGTGGATTTATACATTTTCTTTGTTCTTGAGAATTGACAACAAAAACATTAAACATTATTTATTTATTTATTAGTGTTTTACAAAAATAATATTCACAAGATTATAAAAATATGTGAACTAGCTACAATTAAATATTTATTACTTAACCATTTTTTAGGAAATTAAATATGAAAAAATTTAAATAAAAAATATAATGAGTAACTTCTTCAGGCATTTCTTTCATTTGCTCTCACCTTGAAAAACAAAACCAAAAAGTAACCCGCAATATAAAATAATCAAAGAAAATATGGAATGTCCAGAAAAATCCTGTTTATTTAAACTTTCTTGTTCTGTAGTTCATATTTATTTTTTATAAATTTACGAATAAGTGTTTTCATATTTCTTTATAAAATGATAAATAATAAATATTGCATTGTAGTTGGTTTACATGTTTTTAGAATGTTTTAAATAAACATTACTGAAGGAGTATACAGTAATAGAAGTGTCAACAGAAAAACTGTCCTTTTGATACATTGCTTTTCTTTCTTCTCTTTTTCTCTTCTCTTTTTCTCTTCTCTTTTTCTTCTCTTTTCATTTCTCTTCTCTTTTTCTTCTCTTTTCATTTCTCTTCTCTTTTTCTTCTCTTTTCATTTCTCTTCTCTTTTTCTTCTCTTTTCATTTCTCTTCTCTTTTTCTTCTCTTTTCATTTCTCTTCTCTTTTTTCTTCTCATTCTCTTCTCTTTTTTCTCTTTCTCTTCTCTTTTTTCTTCTCTTTTCTCTTCTCTTTTTTCTCTTCTCTTTTCTCTTCTCTTTTCTCTTCTCTTTTCTCTTCTCTTTTTCTCTTCTCTTTTCTCTTCTCTTTTCTCTTTCTTTTCTCTTCTCTTTTCTCTTCTCTTTTCTCTTCTCTTTTCTCTTCTCTTTTCTCTTCTCTTTTCTCTTCTCTTTCTCTTCTCTTTTTTCTTCTCTTTTCTCTTCTCTTTTTTCTCTTCTCTTTTTTCTCTTCTCTTTTTCTCTTCTTTTCTCTTCTTTTCTCTTCTCTTTTTCTCTTCTCTTTTTCTCTTCTCTTTTTCTCTTCTCTTTTTCTCTTCTCTTTTTCTCTTCTCTTTTTCTCTTCTCTTTTTCTCTTCTCTTTTTCTCTTCTCTTTTCTCTTCTCTTTTTCTCTTTTCTTTTCTCTTCTCTTTTTCTCTTCTCTTTTTCTCTTCTCTTTTTCTCTTCTCTTTTTCTCTTCTCTTTTTCTCTTCTCTTTTCTCTTTTCTCTTCTCTTTTCTCTTCTCTTTTTTCTTTTCTCTTTTCTCTTCTCTTTTTCTCTTCTCTTTTTCTCTTCTCTTTTTCTCTTCTCTTTTTCTCTTCTCTTTTCTCTTCTTTTTTCTTCTTCTCTTTTTTCTCTTCTTCTCTTTTCTCTTCTTCTCTTCTCTTCTTCTCTTCTCTTTTCTCTTTTCTCTTCTCTTTTCTCTTCTCTTTTCTCTTCTCTTTTTTCTTCTCCTCTTCTCTTCTCCTCTTCTCTTTTCTCTTCTCTTTTTCTCTCTCCATAGATTAAACATTGCCATAGGAATAAGGGTTTATCACGAAAACAGTAAAACACTTTTATAACAATTCTATTTCATGAACACATGACAATTGTTAGGCATATAAATTACCTTAATTAAGAGAAATCTCCACATTACTTAGGTTTGCAGATTTTTTCCTGTTTGAATTAATTGGCTGTGTCATACAATATTTAATAAAATGTATTGATTATCTCTTTGCAGTAGAAATATTTCTGATTTTTAGAGGTCTGAAGCAAAATAGTTATTGAATTGTAACAGATTCTGAAAAATTTTTTTTTCTTTTTATCCTGCAGAATCTGTTACAATCTGATAACAATTTTTGGAAGTTGTTATACATTTTCAAAATTCAGTATTTCCTTTTAGTCTTTTTTTTTTTTTTTTTTTTTTTTTTAACCACTTGATATACCAGTGATCAAAAATCAAAACTTATGCCCAAAAAGTTAGTTGATTTTCCATTATTGTGATTGTTACGTATTTTTACAGCCTCTTAAAAGATTTCTCTTCAAACGGGTGAGTCAGATTTTGTTACATCTTAGTTTTAACAGACCAGCAATTGCACCGTTTGGTACTAGTTCACATTACAAGCTAATTTTTAATCATAATGTCACCTACAGAGACTTTACATAAAATAATAAGAAAGTATTTCCTGGTATAATTTAACTTCACTTCAAATGAATTTATCAATCAGAAAGTAATTCTATTTTCTGTATTTCTTTTTTTTTTTTTTACTCTCTTTTTTACTCAAACTGCCTTATTTTCAAAATAATGTGAACTTGTGTCAATCTCATGTCTTCCACTATTCTCTTCTCTTTGACATGCTGCTGCTGGTTGTAGAGGTCACTTTAAATTGCTTCCCTTGCTACTTCTTGGTGTTTATCATATTAAAATTCATATTCAGAAAACCTTCGCTAATAAAATAAATCTGGTATTAAAATGCAATTTATTCAAACATTTTCTCAATAACACTTCTTTTTCTTTCTAATTGGGAAGTAAATTGAATTTTATGTGTAACTCATGATATCTGTTAAATAGTTGTAATTCAGGATTTTTTTCTTTTTAATAATTTGAAATATTTTGTCTAAATTTAAAAATACATTGTAAACAGAATATAGCTAATATTTTAATTTCTTAAAAATTTTTTTTTCCTCTATTTGTTATACTATATTTACAGTGCTTATTTGTAGGTTCAGTTCATTAAAAAGTAATTCTTTCCTGGGGAGAATGTCTAACATTTTTATCTCGCTTTTTAAATATCTTGAGAGTGAAAACAATGGTTGGTTGTGGAAATTTGTAACAAATCTGTAACACTCTGTTTTGTAGTTTTTTGAGATATTGTACTGAAAGAGAAATATATAGTATTTTTGAGTACAGGAAGCTAAGAGTGAATTCTCAAATACAGAAATGAATTACAATAGGATTTTGTGAAAAAGTGTGGCAGAAGGCTAAGTTTTATGCTAAATTGAATTGCAATAAATATGTTCAGTTATCTACTCCTTCCAAATTTTGAATTACTAGAATGAATGTCTTGAGAAATACATTGTAGAATCAAAATTTTACAAAAGTCTTTCCTTTTTTTTATGTATTTATTTTTTTTAATTGGTATGGCCAGTATTTAAAGTGACATTTTTATGCTCAGCAATATCTCTCCCTCCCTACAAAAATTTTTGAATTTTAATCAAAATGAAAGTAATGTGAAGTCTAAAATTTGCTGGCTGATCTCTGGTGGGGAAAATTATTCCTCAATTTGATAATTTTCAAGTCCATCAAAAATTCTCTCTGCCACACTAAATGGAAAGACCACATCACTATGAAAATATAGGAGTAACTATTTTCAGTACTATACTAGTTAGTTTTCTTTGTATAATTTTATTATAACATAAGATGGAATATGTACAAACAAATTTTTAATTTTGTATATTAAAAAAATAATTTGGTGCTTAAGTATGTGATCTACCTTCTGACACTGATTTACCAGAACAACATGTCACTAAAATGTGATCTACAAGTTGAGAAAATTCTCTATATTAAAATATACATTAAAAATAGATATGTATAGAATAAGACAAGAAAAAGTAGTTTTTATTTAATATTCTTTAATAATATAAGAAACAAATAATACCATATGATAAAAGAAAAAGTAAAGGAAATTATTATTTTAACTAATACTATCCCTGTCTGTAAACATTTTGAACATCATTCAGAAATGCAATAAATAAATTTTGGGCATTGAATTGCATAATTTTCTATGGTTTTATACCAAATCCACCAGAAGCCTTCCTTTATTGTATGCTACTTAAGTTGTGCATGTAGATAGTTTTCTTAAAGCAGATTGCATATTTAAGAAGAATCCTGCACATAGTAGCACCAAAAAATTTTTTTTTCTTTTTTGGCAACTATCAAAATAATACAACACATTTAACAGTGTTTATAATGTTCAGAACCTAATCAATGTTTTCAGAATTTTCCTTTTTTTTCTCCCACTTAAAAAGTTCTTTATTCTTAAAGTTCTGTGTGCATCCCTATTTAAGGTCTTTATTTTTTTTAATTTTATCCACCAAGAGGTGCTATATGGCTCCATTTTTTGTTTTTTTGTTTTTTTTTTTTAATTTTACTAATGTGCACTGAGTTGGGTTACTGTTTTTAATACTTGATGAGTTGAACTAAAGATTTTTGTTTATAGTTTTGTTTGATTTTTATGCCCATATCAACTTTTACATGATTTATTTAATGCCAGAATTATTTAGTATTAGAAATTAAGGAATGGAATATGATTCAGAAGAAAAAATACTTTATGGGTTAAGTCATGATTATTTTTATAAGTAGTGTTGGAAAATGTGTTTATGATTTTAGGATTATATTTTCATGTAAAATTTGGCAGGACTTGGATTATTTTGAATGGATTGATTTTGTTGTTCTTTTAAGGTGTTTTACTTGATAATATTGTTTTTTAATTTAGTTTAGACCTCCACATTTCACTAGGATGTGTTTCACTGTATTGTTCTTGACATGGAGTAACCATTAAAGTTTTTACATTTTTCAGTAGATGATTATGTATCATTTGAGTATGACCTACACATAGTCTTGTCAACGTAACTTCCTCCCTTATCTTTCTGTATCTGGAAAAAAAATTTAAGTGAGATCAGGGCTTGAAACTGGTAAACTGTTTCCTCAGGCTGTCACATATGAAACTATAAAGATGTATTTATTTGTCTAGAATTTTTAAAATTTATTTTTTATTCTTTCTGAAAATATTGGGATCCCTGGGAATAGCAAGGCTGATAAGGAATCCTTCTCAATGAACATATCAAATTAAAAAATCTCCTTTACTTTTGTTGAAAACCACAATTAACTCTTACATCCTTAACCAATGGCAAAAATCATGGAATACACAACAAACAACTATTTCAAATAAAACCCATCCGGAATGTACATCATCACAGTACCAAACAGAAAAAGATGATGTCAACTTACAAGAATCAAAATCGGATATATCCTCATAACCCAAAAGTGTCAAAACCGAAATCTAAACCATTCTAGAATTCTTAAAAGTAACAAAACTCTATCCCAAAATATAAACAGGAAACCAATTAAACACCTGGCTACAAAATGTAACTAAAATCGAATTACATCCACACCCTTATATAATAACTTATAAAAGAATTTGTCTGCAAAATAGACACAAAGTAAAAACTAATTTTAAAGCTATTCGATTTGGCATGAAATAAGCCAAGGGGTTGGTGTGCTGGTATGTGAGTTTCTTTTTTGAGAGACCAAATTACAATAGACTAACCTCTTTTCCTTTATCTCTTTATTCCATCTTCTAGTTAAATAAGTTAAAGTAAAAGAGAACGATAAAAGTATCATTAGTAATGTTATACTTGTTGCGCAAATGCATATAGCCAAAGACAATCAAACGAGAAAAGGCTAAACATCTTATAAATGTAAACAATGGAAAAGATGCATATTCGTTATGTTTGTATTTTATAATACGATACTAATATGTGAATATTACATGCATTATTATTGGATACAGTTAAGTAAAACATCAGTTTTATCAAATTGTTTTTTAAATATGGCTGTACTTTTTGACTACAATAAATGAATATATAGTTTAATCAACAGCATAGCCAGTACAAACACTAATTTTATATCTTGTGTATAATGCAACCCCCTTAAAATTAGCTTTAAAAGTCACAATATGCGAGTATATATGGGATATATATTAAGTAGTTTTCAAAAGGAGTTTATAAAGAAATACTGTTTTCCATTGATCATTCAGCAAATATTTTTCTTGTACTTTAATAATATATTGAATAATTGCTGAGTATGAGTGGCTGCTATAAGAAACGGGTTTAAAACAAGTATTTTTTATTTTTTATTTTGTTCATTTCTTTTAACAGATGTTTCGCTAAAAATTAATGGAAAAATCTTTATACAGATTACTTTGTATGAAATAAGTTTGCTGAGGAAAAGCTTATATCTTATTTTCTTTTAAATCATAAAATTTGACTCATTCTCCCCTCCTCCCCAATGTTAACATTCTGACTTTTAAAGAATCTTGTTTAACCTTTTAAATATCAAACTGCCTGATTTTCCTATTCAAATTTTTTCCTTGCTTCATTTTCCCAGATTATCCCCAATTATTTTCTTATTGATATTAATTGAATTTCTTGCAATTCATTTGTTTTTCTTTTCCCTCTATTAAATAATTTCTAATCATTTCAGCTATACCATATTTTGCAAATACCTTAAAAAAACATCTTTGTAATAAAATCAGTTTCTTCTGCGTTTACTTTTTCTTGAGAAATCTTTGTTCATCACAATTTGGTTATTAAAAATTTCACTTAAAAGCTTTTCTTTTCATAAAATTAAATTTTACATGTAATGATTCTTTTAATGTGATTTTTAATTTACAAAAATCGTCTTAGCATTATTTTGTTTTAAATTTTTTAACTTCTGCAGAATTTCCAATTCATCATTGAAGTTTTAATGGCCAGTTATATGAATTTTTAAAATAAACAAAATTTATAATATAAATTCCAAATTTAACTGTTTGAATAATTTTAATGTTTCCATTTTGATCACTGCACTTGATGTTTATACAGTTTTTGGAAACTTGAAGTCTGTATAAACTAGTGTTTAAACTTGACTTTATCAGTTTCCTCTTAAAAACGAAAATTATTGAAATGATTTGGGTGAACTGTTGTAATTATTTTTTTAATTTTTCATCTATCAAAAGAAAACCCTGCTTTTTATGATTTGCTTAATGGAATTCTTTGCACATTTTTAGATTTGGTAGTTTCATCCTTTGCACATAATCTCTGGGCATCTGTAGGTTTTAAAGGCCTTAGAAATTTAAAAAAAAACAAAAACAAATGGGTTTCACTTTTTAATCTTTAAAAAATATATTTTTATTTTACTTAGCAAATTGTGACTGAGGCTTGAAATTAAATCCTTTATGATATTTGGTTACAATTCTCTTAAACCTTTTCTTAATTTTTCATATCTGCTATAATTTTCTTACTGGAATTAATATAATTATTAAATTCAATTATTGTATTTACTGGCACTTTAGATGTAGTCTCTACTTTGATCATGTTTTTCTTTTAAGCATTTGAGATTTTATCTTGTGCTCTAGCAGTATCTACTGAAACCTGATAATTCTATCACTGGTGGCTGAAGCCATTTTTTCCCTACTGGAATTAGTGGTTAAAACCAGGATTTAAAATATTGAATTTTTTTTTTTTCATAAAGAAGGCAGACAAGCTTTTATCCACTTATAAGATTGGTGTAATATAATCTAGGTACCTCCATTTTTTTGGGGGTGGGGGACCAAAACTTGATAAGTTTTATTGTCAAAATGTTTATTAAGAAAAAAGACCAAAGTATTAAGTTTTTTTTTTTTCTTTTTTTTTAATCCTTTCTAGCATGTCTGAAATTTTGGTTAAGAATTTTTTTTTTTTTTTTTTTTTTTTGGCTTTACCATCGGTATTTTAGTACCTTTTTCTGGTAAAAACAGTGATTTGGAAATTCTTGCGAAAATCAAATAATTGTCAGATTTTAGTGAAACTTTCACGACTTATTCACAAGTGAATTAAATTTTTTTTTTTTTTTTTTAAGAATACAAGGCGTGATGGATAAATTGTCCTCTAAATTATGCAAAAATGAAAATAGCACTAACTCGTTTTAAGATATATTTACCAAAATTACACAAAAATATTTTGAAATACTAAAGAGTAAATCTATTCAATAAAATCGCCATTGACTTCAACCACGACCTCCTTTGGAATCTACTGCAACTCTGCTGGACAGTTATCTTGTTTTAGTGAATGCTGCCATAATCGTTGCCTTCAGTTCATCTTTGGTGTTACAAGAAGTTTTATTGGTCTCTTGCTCAACTGCACCCCACACACATAATACTCAAGGGGGTTGCAGTCTGGGGGCCAGATGTAAGGGGTGATGTAATCACAGAATTGTCTGACAGCCATGACTGGGTCTCCTGCTTGTATGACATGGTGTAGATTTCTGTTCCAGCAGCCACTCTCTTGACATAGGGTAGCACTACCTCCTCAGGGTACTCCGTATAGGCCTCCATGTTGAGTCTGAGGCCCAGTGAGAAGATGAATGGAGGTATAATGTCGGCATCACTAGTAATCACTTCAAACACCTTCACCATTAGACTCTAATCTAACTTTTTCCAGATACTCTGCACTGTCCTTTAGATTGATACCCAAACACTCTGAAATGTTTGTATTGGAGGTTCCAAGCAGTACAGCATCCAGTTTCCAAATTTCTGGTTGAGTGAATTGCATCATGGTGTTCTTTTTCTCTCAGATAGTGCCCAAATGATCCTACTATACAACAAAATCAAAAATCTAAAATAGTGACAATTTACCCTCCCAACCTGTATCTTGGTAAAAAAAAAAAATATCTTTACATTTTTTACATTTTTCTCAAAAATCTGTTCCATTCGTAAAATAAAATATGCAATAAAACTGACATTATTTAAGAAAGCTTTGAATTGCTTTTATAAATAAGCTATATTAAGGTTACTATTGCCTTTAAGAAAAAACTTATCAATGAATTTTTGCAAGAATTGTTTTCAGTTTTTTTTTTTTTTTTTTTTTTTTTTTGATTCTAATAATTTATAAAGTTACAAATCTTTTAAATTTCTGCATTACTTTGTGTTAAGTGATATTGTTATTAAGTGAAAACTATAATTAATAATCATAAATTGTAAAGCTTAATACCTGTCTTCAAACTTTGAGATTTTAAAAAGAATTTAAAAATTTTTTTATGTGTATAAATGTGTCCATTTTTGAAATTATGGACAACCATACACAACATAATCAGAAAATAAGAGCAATGACTATAGTAAATTTAGTCAACATTCCTAAAATTAGATTACAGGAATGTTTTCCAAAATTTTTAAGATTACTGAGTACTTAAAAATTATATAAAAAAGATGCTCACATCATTTTCTTTATTTATGTTTTACAAAGTTTCCATAGAACAACAATAAATCTATCATCACTTTGTCAAACATAAGCATGGCTGCTTTCAGTTAAAAACACACCTACAGTTTAGTTTTCTGTGTTGTTTTAAACTTAAAGTAGATAATATTTGTTCCAAATCAGATTAGTTATACTTTAAATCAGCTTGTATTCCTCAAATAAAGTTTCAGAAAAGTATATTTTATTTTTGGAAGATATTTCAATAAAGAGAATTACATTGCAATGAAAGATGACTAATAAAAGGGCACTAATCAGCTATTTTAGAAAAAATTTAAAAATCGATTCCAATCAATATAATTTCTATTTGAAATACACCAGAGTATTTTGATTACTGGAAATAGTAAATTTAATCCTTTAGATTTTAATTAAAGCTAAAATGAAAGCTTCAAGAAAGCTTTTTCATTTTTAAAAATTCATTTTAAACCTTACGTATCATGGATTAATGGAGGTACCTAATATAATCTTTTCTATTAATCATTTGGCTTTGCATTGAATTAAGTGAAGATTAGTAAAATGCCCATATTTTAAACTTTATTGGAATTCAATTATAATTTTACATTAAGTTTAAATAATTTTCTTTTTCTATAGTTTAAAAATTCTTTATGGTGATTACTTTTATTCATACACTTAAAACTATAAATTTATTTCGTACTTGAATTATTCAATAGTGAAAGTTTAATTTTTAATAATTAAGTTTATTTTTGTAAATTTTTGGCTTTATAATTCAGTCCAGATACCTTTTAGTCATATGCTGTGAAGCACTTGATCTATCAATAATATCAATTAAATGTATCTTTGTGCTGGTAAAAACAATTTTATGCTAAATATTATTAATCACACAAAAGTGCACTCTGGTCTTTATTTACTGATGCATACAGGGGAACAAAAAAAAAATCTATGAAACAGGTAATGTTAAAAACCAAAAAGAAAAGTCTTTATTAGAATTACATTTACATCTTTGTATAATTTAAGATATTAGTAGTTTGTGCTTATAAGACAAAACCTTTCTACCGAATGCTTCAACAAGTTTCAATGTTTGGGAAGTTTTAACCTAAGATTGGTAAATCTTCCAATCTTGGTCTTCATAACATATTCAAAGTTTCCTAAATAATATTTGCATATTTGGTCATATCAGTAATTGAGCCCTACCTTAGAAGGTGGGTGTGATATAATATTTATTTTTAAATTCTTTCAAGTGAATATGAAGTCAATTGCAAATCTTTAAAGAATATTTAAAATTTTTTTTTCTTTTCTGAAGCATTTTGTAGATTTACTTTTTGTATTATAATTTAAACAATGCAAGGATTTTATTATCAAGCCTTTAAAGCTGAATTATTTGAATATACTTGAATCTGCTTTATTTCAGTAAAATGACTTTACATTAAATGTTCATATTTGTCTAACTACTTGGGTTCTCAAATTGCAAGATTGTTTATATGGTTTATAATTCTGGAACTATTATCTTCAAACTTTCTGCAAGTTTGAAAAATAGAATACTCAGGTAAAATTTGATGTATTTGACTTCTACCTATCATGACATAACAAATAATGGCTGAAAAGGATGACTTTTTTCTGTTAGATGGGTCATTAATGCAAATTCTTCATCTTTTCTACCATATTTCTTTCTTTTGTCACATTTCCTTTAATCACTTAAACTTATTTTAAGTGGATACCCATATTTGAGTAATGCGTCATTTGAAACAGTACATTTATTTTCATCTACTGGCCCTGAATATTTGAGAAAACTTCTTAAAGAAAGAGATTCACCCTCCAGCAGGATTTAACCCCCTCTCCTTGCAAGAGAAACTATTTAGATCTGACATGCTTTTAGCCAACTCAGATATGAAGAGTATTGCCATTTAAGCAAGGTTGAGTACTCACTCACTTCAAATCCTTCAGAGTGAGCGTCTTTTTTTGTTTTTTTTAAGATTTCTCAAATATTCAGTCTGGTAGACGAAAGTAATATATACTGTTTCAAATAAATAGTATCTACTGAAATATAGGCATCCACTAAAAACGTTTTAAAGTGATAAAAAATCTTTGATTAATAAATTAAAAAAATATATAATTATTGATAAAATTCAAGGGGCATAACTCATTGTTGGTTTTATGATGGTTAAAATCGTTTAGTGTTTATTCTTCACTGAATGGGATTTTAATGTTTTAAGCACTAATTTTTTTTTTTTTTTTTTTTTTGAAATTACTTATAAATAAACAATTAGGATGCAATTGTTGCAAAATTTTCACTTAATTTCTTAGGTCATAACTGTTTAATATCCTTTATCTTGGTGTTTTGAATTGTTTTTTTTCCCCCCCTCAGATTTAATAAGAATTTTTGCTCTTTACATCTAAAATAGTAAAAACATTTACATTAAAAAAAATTAAAAAATAACACATCTTTCAAATTTATGTTGAACAATCTTTTATGTATTTAAATGTTGTTTAACTTCAGAATCCAGATATACCTCCTGTGCCTCCGAAAAGAACAACAAGTTTGATGCCAGATGTTGCTAATCCAGAAACATCTCCCACCAAAAATGGCTGTTCGCAGGAAGAATCTGATCAATCTGTAACAGCCTCCTCAGCAAAGCAATCAGCACGTCATTTATTAGAAACAAATTCCGATACATCAGAAGAGGAAGAAAGTAAAGAAGAGGCCACTCCACCTCCTCTACCTCCCAAAAGGCCACCAGAACATCTTGACAATGGTTTTGATAGCCATTATTCTGAAAACACACAATCAGTTTCTAATGATCAAGAAGGGTCAGTAAATCACTTAGTATTGTCTGCTTAAACCTGTTATTTGTAGCTTAATTTATTTTATTTTTAATCAGTTGTTTCTGTTTGAGTCTTGAAGCAAATAATCCCATTGAAATTTTGACCATTGATGAGATTTTTAAAATTTTGAAGTGTGGAAGTGATTGCTGAAACCCCTTTTTAAAGGGCTTCCATTATTTGTTTTGAAGTGTTTCTGAAATATAAATATTGCATTTAATTGATTGACACTTTGTAAATTTCCTGAAAAGTCTTTATTATGCATAATTTTAGAACCTCGTATAATATAGTGAATATACTGAGTATCTACCTCCTATTTAATAAATAGGACCATTTAGAGCTTTTTCTTTCATTCACTCCTAATTCAAATAGCACATTGCAATATAGAAATCAAGAATGATTTCCTCTCCTAAGAATGAGAAGATTATTAAAGGAAAGTAGTTAAATTTAGTCCCAAAATGAAGTAACCATAATCATTTTCATCCTTACCACTATTATTCTCAAGTATTGCTTCCCTTGCAATTGTAGATTGTGGCTATTCTAAATTTTAGTCAAGGTTGTTTTAGATGTTGCCATAGCAGGACATGACAACATAACCACAAAATTCAAACTGCAATTTTCTTGCTGTCTGTAGTGGTAAAACAAATTTTGTGAATGAATTTGCCTATAAGATTGTTTTTAAATTTTTTTTTTTTTTTGTATAGTCTAGATCAGAAATTAGAAGCTTCTCTATGGAAATGTATTTAAAATTGTTTGTTTTTTTTTTTTTTAATTATAAATGCTAATTTTTGCTTTTTTTTCACCTCCTCCTTCCTGCAGGTATGAGCTGCGTCGCAGGAAACGTGAAGAGCGTAAAAAAGAAACCCTGAAGAAGATAGAGATGATGAAACAGAAACAAAGAGAATGTGAAATAATGCAACATCGTAACACTTACATGACTCCAATGTACATAGGTCTTGCTTTGGCAATTGGTGGAGGACTCCTTCTCTATCGCTACTACAACAGTGGAGCCTAGTGGAGCCATTTTGGGAAAAAGTAGAAAGCCGATATCTATGTATATACATTTTTCTCTTTCTTTTTATGTTGCACTCACATTAATCAAGCTGCCGAGTTTCTTTTATAGAAGAAACAATTGCAGTGTGTGTGAGTTACTCCCCCCCCACTTCTTTTTCTTTCTTTACCTACAGACAATAAGACTGTCATTACCCAAGCAGAAACAAAGTCCTTTATATAAATTTTGTTACTGACTGAAAATCTGGTTGAGTTCCAAAATGTCGGTCTTCTAAGGACTGAAAATATGTGAAATGTTTTCTGATTTTCATACTAACCAATAGATGTACATACGTAATATTCTCAGCCGCAAAACTCTTGGCATTGACTCTTGCCATCCCTCCACCTCCTCATGTAGAAAAATGTAGATTTACAAAGTTGGAGAGACGACATCATAACATGACATGGTTTCACTTGACTTTGGGCTTTTTTTTTTTTTTAAATTAGCTGATATATTTCCTTTTCTATCCATTTTTTCCCCTCCATTCCATAAATTCCACTCATTGTAAATCAATAGAAAATTTCATCTGAATTTCTTTGGGTTTTTAATGCACTAAATTTTTTCTAAAAAAAAATATCCTGTTTTTTTTTTTTTTTTAATAGATTTATTGAAAATAATTTCTTTCTTTTTTTTTTCTCATTCTTGTTTATAATGTTTTAATTTTTTTTTTTTTTTTTTTTTAAATACTGTAAATCAATCCATTACTGATTCCCTCCTTTTATTGTCTGTGATAATTTCCTCTTTAAAAGAGCTGAATATCGCTAAGCTACTTACATTTTTCTTTATTTACTTAGTGGAATTTGAAAATAAGGGACAACTAAGATTTTTTTTAATCTATTTCTGTAATCTTGTAGCTTTTTATTTTTCTTGTATTGAGTTTTGAAGACCTTTCAATGTCCAATAGCAATCTCTGCATGTATTCTCATTGTTGTCACTGATAATGGGAAGTGCAGCCATACATATCTGTAATAAATGAATTGTATGCAATGTGCAGTTAAATGCATTTGAACTCAGACATGCAAATTTCTTGGTCAGGTGATAATAATCTGTGATTACCTTTTCTTCTACTCATAATGAACTTCAATTCCAAGGCTCTAATTTTATTGAGTTTGGTGTGAAAAAAAAAAAAAAAAAATAATCAATACATATCAATACACATTATCTTATGAACCCCCCTTGCCCCAAAGTCTATAATTATATCAAAATTTATTTTGGCAGGTTATTTGGGAATGTAACTTAAAAAAAAAAAAAACTACTAAAAAACTCATTTAGTATGAGAGAAATGGAAGGAAAGGAATCATTATTAAGTTGGATTATTTTCTATTTTTTTTTTTTTAAATTAAAGTTCATTTCAGAGATCATATATAAAATAGATAATTTTGTGGCAATGTCTGTTTATAGTTTGGTTGTGACCTCTTCCCTATTTTGTCATCCAATTTTCTTGGATTAGATAATTATTTAAATCTGTCCAGACAAACCAATTTAAGGAATGCAACTTGAACGATAAGTAAAAAAAAAAGAATAAAAGGTGGATAAGTTATAAGCTGATTTTTAAAAAAAAAAAAAATATCCGTCTGAATTTGCTATTTTTATTTTCTAATATTACATCTCCAGTGTTTTTCAAATTGAAAATTTTCTTTAAGTTTTATTTCAGCCTAATGTCTTGAACCTGTCTTGTTGATAGCTCTACATAATTGAACACCATTTAGTTTTTATAGCCTTCTACTTTATGCCATGCAAACTTCAAAGGCATTTGTTTTATGCCAAATAAATTGTGAAATAATTTTGTAAATGAATTCCTTTCTACATCTTGAAAATTCCAGATTGATTTTTGTATCTATTTTATCAGTGTTTATATAAATGGGGGTCGGGTGTAGAATCCTAAATAACTAATCACTTAAAATTTAAGTATGTGTGATATATATTACACACACAAACATATACATTTCATGTGAGTTTATTGGTAGAATATTCAATAGAAACATTCTGTGCCTGTAGTTTTCGTTCATAGTGTAAATGAGCCCACTTTGTTGCCAATACTACCACTTCTATGTTGATACAGATATATTATCAAGTCTGTTTTGGAAGAAAAAATGACATAGAAAATGTTTCCAATCAAATAATGGCTTTAAGATATATTTTTCTAGTGATTTTTTTAAGTGTCATTTTTATAACTCAGTTGAAAAAAAAAAAAAAAAATTCCCTCATCTTCATGACTGTTAATGAAGAGGATTTAATTTTTAAGTTTCAGATTCTTGTACATTTTCTAAATATCTTATTTTTTCCATCAAGTTTGAGGTATAAATAAGGCAGACTTGAACAGGACGCTCATTCTAAAAATGATTTATATGACAATGTATTTATCTTAGAGACCTAGTTTCTTTCAGTAAAGCAAATTCTGTGTACAAGTCTGGAAAAAAAAAATGATAAATTCAACTGAACAACCAACAAGTGCCTTCATTTTTAATTTATCTGATCTCTGGTAACAATTTTGATTGAAATTCAATAGACATTGTATATCTAAGACTTAAATAAACCTGGAAATGGCTCTTTCACCAGACAACCACTGATAGAAAAACCAGTAGATGACTTTCGTTCTTTTTCAGTTTTGTATTTACTGTTTGCTTGTTCAAAAATAACCTTTTCTAGTTTCAGCATAATACTTGTTTAAAAAAAAGCAAAAAAAAGCTATCCTTTAATACAAAGAGTCTGAAATGTGTCGGCAGCATGACTATTTTATTATTTGTTATTAGATCAGTTACATTTCATTGTATCCTAATCTGGTCCCAGAAAAGTAAGTGTGTCCTAAAATTAAGCTAACTGTATCTTTTCTCTCCATTTTGTTATCTCCATTCCAGTGTTTGTTTATAGCCTATCTAGAGGCTACCAAGAAATAAAAAAAAAAAAAAAAAAATTTATAAGTAGTATTTTTAAATCATTTCATAAACACTCAAATGTTACTGTTAAAAAAAAAAAAAATAAATAAATTTAGCTATTACTTTGATTTCATGATTAAACCAGCCAGGAATAATTGAGATGTGTCATCTCAGATATATATTTTTTAATTTATATTAGTAAATAAAAGAAAAAATATATATCTCACACCATTTGTAATTTTATGAGTAAAGTTATGTAACTGGGAAAAATATGCATTTAAAATTCTGGCTATATATATATATATATATATATATATATAGCTGGACTGAAAGTTTCAAGTTAAGATTAAATTGCAAATTTTGTACCAAAGGCAAACACCTTACAGATTTTTCCAATAATTTTCTTCCATGTTGATTAGTAAAAAAAAAAAAAAAAACACATCTCCAAATTTACTGTGCTGCCCATTATGCGACAAAATACTAAGTGTGTGTGTGTGTTTTTTTTTTTTTTTTTTTACAACCAATGCCAGAAATTTAACTAAAGAAAAACAATGAAGTATCTTTGAAAATAACATTGTTATTTAAGAATAAGTTCCATTCACTTTGCAAAATATTTTTTTAAGGAAATAATAATAATGAGCATTTTCATATGAATTATAGTGGTAAAATTTATGTAAATGTATCTTTGTCTATTTTTTAGAAAACAGATTATTTAATTCATCCTAAGTCACAGCTGTCTTCAAAATCAAGATTTTCATTTCAGGTTTTAACTTCACTTAGTGCAGTGGGTTGAAGTGTCTTTGAGGTAGTTCTATGAGAAGGGAATCCACATATAACTGTTCTTCCAAATAATGCCTTAGAAGTTTAATGGGCTATTTAAAATAAAAAAAAAAAAAAAAAATTTTATTTTTGAAAGCCAACGTTTTTAAAATTCAGGACTAGCCTGTATTGATATAATGGGCATTTCATATACTATATATTGAAATTTTATTTAATATAATAAAAGAAAAAAAACTTTGTCCCTTTTGGTTTTGTGATTTAAAAAAAAAACTAAAGGACACTTTCAAAAAATCTTCAGCAACTTTTTAATGTTTATGAAAAAATATTTGAAGAAAAGATTTTCTTTGTTCTTTAAAAAAAAAAAAAAAAAACAACCTTGGAGGGAGTAAAACAAAAACTCTGAAACAGGCACATTTATGTTGCAAATACATTTTTTTTTTTTTTTTAAAACCCCTCCCCAAACCATAACAATCTTTTATTCGTGCTTTAAATGTTCTACTTTCTAGTCTGAAAGTTGATTGTCCTGACCTTACTTTTTTTTTTAGTCTTTAAATTTTTCCTCTTTTCCTTAGTAAGTCGTTGGTGATGCCCAGTGATCCTCCAATAGCAAATCGTACAAAATTGTCTCCCATTAATGGTCCCATTACATATATACCAGGTTCTTGGATGGATTCATAGGATAATGGGTCCACTTCAATTGGATTATGTTTGCTGTCTATAGACTTGTTCAGAACAACACCCATATGTTTTCCTTCTTGTGGTAGAAAGGTCAAGTTGGGCTTTGACCCTATTAAGATAATTGCCAATGATGTATTCAAAGTGGTAATGCTACACCCACTTTTAAGACTTTTAATCAGTACTTTGTTGTCTTTTTTTAGTTCTTCTACCTTGTGCTTTGGGTAGGCTTTATATAAGTCATTTACTTCTTTACCTTTCATTAGAGAATAAACTCCATGATACTCTGGGTACATGCTCAAAGGCAGTTTTTTGAATACTAAAGAAGGATCCAATGCACTGACACGAAATACATGGGCTACAGGTATATTGTTCTCAAGAGCCATTAAGATGGCATCAGCTGCCGACAATCCAGCTCCAACCACCACAACTGGTTCTGATTCACTTGTGATTTCTTTCCGTGTCAGCATTTGTTCAAACAACTTTAATGAGTGAACCACATAAGGTAAGTTTTCACCAGAAATCCCCAGTCGATTTGGAACATCTGTTGTACCAGTTGCTAGCACAATAGAGTTACTCTGAAAGCAGAATTCTTCTCGTTGGACATGTTCTTGGACTGCATCAAATTTCAGAGGAACTCTGTAACCGCGCACTTCCCACAAGAATTTGTGATTCTCTTTTCTATTCTGGCAGCATGGCACCACTTCTCCACTCTCACAATCAATTCCGTTTTCAACCAGGCTGACCTTTTGGACAGAGGTCACCAAATAGCCACTAAAAAAATTTTTCTCCAACTTCTTTTGATATAAAAAATCACAATAGTAATTACGAACATCAGCCACAGTTGCTCTATTGGCTTTCCTGCCGTTTGTCCCAATTACCCTGAAAGAAAACCACGTAAATTGCTGAATTAGATAAAACATAAACTGAAAATAATCACATGTAATAGTGAACAATGTAAGTGTCTTCCTTTGTAAATTCCATCATGCCAAACAAAACAGGCATGAAATTAACAACTGGAGGTAAGCAGCTGAGTAAAATATACACTATGCTAGTTATCTGAAGAGCATACTTAAAGAAAAAAAATAAAAGAAAGCAAACTGCAAATATTAAGAATGCACTGATGCTACACTGATCCTAGGTAGAAGTACCAATAATTCTGTCTTGGACATATGTGGCAATTTGATATATTTTTTCTGCTTTTGAGTTTAATACACACTCACATTTTTCAAGACACTGAAATGCTAATATTGGTCATTTGTATTATAAACTAACTTGTACTTTGTGTTATTTCCGAATCAGTCTAGATATGTAGCCTACAACATCACCTGTTTTGTGATGTTTTTATTATATTGTCTTTTGGATATTCTGCAAGCAGACTATTCAATGGAGACAAAAATGGTGGTGCACTTAGTGTTTTTAGAGTCATTTCCAGTAAATACTAGTTTCTTATTCCGCCAATCAAACTGGGCAGCATAGTCAGGCAACAATGCTATAAGAATGCAGAAGTTAAAGGATCCAAGATATTTTGTCGCACCCTTGTTGGAAAATTCCACTTTAGAGAATGACAGATGTAATTTTTTTTTTTTTTTTTTTTTAAATCATTTCATTCAATATAATTTATAAGTCAAACCAATGATTTTCTGGATTAGCAAAGCTTAATATTTATGTCATTCACATCTGAATTCAATATGTTGCCATGAATTGGAACAGGTATATTAATGTAGATTGAGTTACTTACTGGTCTTTTTTGGACTTGAGCCATTCATTCAAAGGCAAGGAAGGTAGTTCCATCCAATTACTGATACTTATAGTCTGTAAATTTCCATCCATTTGCTGGGTTAAAAGAAAAAAAGTTTGAAAAATGAAGGTATTACCATAAAAAAAATTTGATTATAATAATAATGTTTATGTTCCCAATATGTTTATTCCTCAGTTTATATTTTATAAGTTTTATTCCAAAATTAGCTCATATTTCATTAAAATTATTTTTTTTTTTTTTTTAAAGTTTAAAATGCATTTAAAAAAAAATGAAATATTTTCTGAAGCTTTTAGTTTTAATTCCAAGCTAATAGATTAAATTCAATATTTTCAATAAAAAAATACTTTGCTGTATTTCAAATTGAATTTAAATTGGAATTTTTTTTCTCTCTGATTATCAGTAAATCTGTCAACACAATATAATTCTCTTTATTAAAAAAAAAATCTTTCAAAACTATACTTTTCAGAAGTTATTTGAGAAAAATTAGCTGTTTTAAAGTTTACTGAATCTGAGCTGAAACCAATACTACTTTTAGTTTAAAATATTGCAGAATTTTTTTTTTTTTTTTTCAAAAAAAAAAAAAAAAACCCCACTGAGGTGAGTTTTTTTTATTAGATGTTGGCACATTTATTGACAGCCTGATGTTTGGGAAATTTATGTAAGGAGATAATTGTAATAAAATTGAATACAATGTAAAACCCCACTTTTAAACTGCCCAGTAATCTTAATTTTTTAAAGCATTCTAATATTTTATACAAGCAGTTAGCAGTTTTTCTAATTAATGTCTTGAGTTTATTGCATTTGTTTTTTTTATGATTCAAAGCAGATTTTCTGTAACTGGTAGGTCCTGTTTAACAAAAAAAAAAAAAAATTCTGACAACTTTTTCTTATAACTAATATAAACATAAATACTACAAAAAAATTTCTCAATTTTGTAAAATTAAATAATTGAGCAGGTATCAAAGGTGAAAAAAAATTCTTAACCAAGATTTTCTTAAAAAAAGAAAAAAATTTCATTTGTGAATAAGTCCTTAATTTAATTTGACAATTATCTGATTTTTGCAAGAACTTCCAAATTGTTTTTCACCACAAGATATTCAAGTTTCTTGTACAAATTTATGGTCCCATGTATGCATTAGAAAAACAAAAAATAAAGATTTTGATAAAACTTTATTAACCCTTTGCCTTCCTGAACATTTTTAACCCTTCTGCTTGAGCTCCTGAGTCAAAATTTGCAAATAATTGGCATGTAATATTTCCAGGTAGATATAAAAATAGTTACAAGTGTTTACCCACCGTTCAACTGGTAGCATTAAGTCATTTTTCTCCACCACTTCAACCAGTGGCCAGGCATTGTCATTTTAAGTTGAGTTTTGGGCGTTATTTTTTTTTCATCATGCCTGTTTAATTTTTTAGTAAATATATTTCACCTTAAAATAGGACATGCTCTCCTTCCAACTTCTGTTAATGGACAATAACTGCATTTGCTTTCAGGAGTAGCTTAAGCAGAAATTTTTTTTTTATTCATTTAAACAACCTTGACAGTCATTTTTCATATGCCTCAGTAATATTTTTCATTTTGGTGCATTTTGACATGGTGTAATGGTTAGTGAGCTTGTCTCACTAGATCAGTTATGAGGGCCATGAGTTCAATCCATACTTGTGCCCATTTAAGCTACACTTTGTAAATCACTATTTTCTATTTGAAACGATATTGAATGATCTAAAATTGTTTAAATCAAATTTGTAATAAGCATTGGTATACCTAGCCATAGAATAATACTTTAAAAATAATACTGTATTTTAGTTATGCCAAATACCACAAGTTAGTGACATCCACATGGTCAACATTAGCCTACCAGAGTTTTTTTGTTTTTTTTTTTTTCTTGCAAGGTAAAGGTTCTTAAAAGTACACCTAATTCCCACCAGTATTCAGCTAAGCAAATTGTAGAATCTATGTAAGAGTATTATAAAATGAAATAGTCAAAGCCAACTGTAAGCTGATAAATTTTTTAATAAATCAACTATGAGTGTCTAAATTTCATAATCTGTTGCTGGGGGCTTCAAATATGAGGGTAGGGGGGAAATATTTGCTAACATACAAAAATAGTGGTGTATAAATCTTAAACCACTTTGCCTGAGTTAGATTTAAAAAAAAATTTATTTAAAGAGGAGAAAACTTTATTGTTGGTATTTCGTGTAACTTCTATTAGTTTGAATAATGGCTTTAATATGCCATGAAAGACATATATACAAGTCCTTTATTAATTTCATGAGCATATGAATTCATTCGCTCCAGCTTTACCCTCCATAATTCTTCGGCATAATCTGGATTCTTTAGACAAACTCTCCTTTTTAATTCTGCCCACATTTGCTTGATATTTATATCTGAATTTCATGATGTCCAATCTTAATATCTGGCTGACAAAAATGTAAACCTATTAAGTTGCACATTTTATGGCCTGGAGTTCTGTCATGCTGAAATTTCACCACTATCAATATTAGGAATCAAGTTTACTTTCAGCAATTCAGTGTCTTTAATATAGGTACCTCCAATAATTTGCTAAAAAATCAGTATAGCATAATGATAAAAGGGCCCCAAACCTAATAAAAACAAAGTTTTATCATTAAAATGTTTGTTATTATTAAGAGGAAAGAACAAAATATTTTTTAATTATGTTTAAAAAATTTTTTTTTTTCTTTTCTAACACGTTCTAAATTCGAGTCAAAAATCTACTGCTAATTTTAAAAAAAAATCTGCTCCAAATTGTAAAATAAAAACTGCAATAAAACTATCTAATTATTGAATTAGATAGACTTTTATTTGCTTTTATAAATAATATACATTAAGGACATTACTATTTGAAGAAAAAAAAAATTTTGAAAGAATTTTTACAAGAATTGCTTGTATTTTTCTTTTAGTTTTTTTCATGTTTTGACTTTCTTCAAAACAGAGTGTGGGGTAGGTTATTAAGTTTTTAAGTGAAGACTATATTTACTAAGCGAAAATTAAAAGCTTAATACAAATAATGCTACCAAAACTTTTTACCATAATTAAAATTTTTTTTTTTTTTTTTTTTTTTTTTGTGCGTCAAAATGTTATGTTTTTTTTTAGTATGATATCTCATAAGGGAAATTATGGTTAAGAGATCACATGTTTCAAGGCTTGTCTCCTTGGGAAAATCCTCTTGACATAAAGGCCTTATCTCACTCTTAGATATTAAATTGAGATAATAAAATTATTTCATTTATCAATTTAAACAATGAGAGATATTAATTATTAATATAATAATTTTATTAGTTTTTATCTCAGTTATTAAATTAAAAATGTAATAATGTAATATTAATAAAATTATTTATTATCTTAGCTATTAAATGAAAGAGATAGAGGTAACTCAATAATGTAAGAAATTTTTATAGTATTTTAAATTATTATAAACAAAAAGAAAACGTTATGTCAATTTTGGTGCACTGTCAACACATTTAGCCATCAAATTAATGATGGAGACGTGAAAATAATACACTGAGGTCAAGAAATGTTTGTCTAGAAAATTTTATTCTATAAGTAAGTGATATTTGTTTCAGAACAGATTAATTTAACTTTAAATTTGCTAATTTTACGAATATAACATTTCAGAAATGTATATCTTATTTTAGCAGGATTTTCAAAAAGGAAAAAATAAGTTTTGTCTAAATTTCTCTAAAAAGGTTAAAAATAGCCATTTTGATTTGTTTTTCGGAAGCATTGACTAAAAATCATTTAAATTTCTATTTGAAAAACTCCACGGTATTTTTTTTTTTCTGGAATTAGAAAATTTATTCCTTTAGCTTTCAATTGAAGTAGAGAGGTGGGGGGGGAAGTTTTATGAAAAATTAAAATTTTGACTAAAACGGATGGCAGTGTGGTCTCAGAAACTGCTTAGCACAAACTAACTAAAGTGGCATGTGTATGTGCTTATAAGAATAACAATCTGAATGGGGACTTTGTTCAGGGATGAAATCAACCAAGAACTTCCAATTAACATTGCATGTGACCCATGCTTCTAAAATACTCAGGAGCAGACATTTTGGTAATGTAATTCCACTAGATAAGATACTAAAATAATATTTCACAATTAAGTCTGGATTTTGAAGAATTTTAGCAAATGCATTAATCACATCATCACATGTTACTCAGGTTTGGCAATCTGCTCTTTTGCAATGTGAATTTCTTGCAAGTATTGTTCTCTTTTAAGAGTGTCTAAGAATTTCCATCCTTCAAGAGCATTATTCTCAGTAAATCAGCATAGACTCTCAAAGCAAGACCACATATGTATTTCAAACATAGGTATTGTCCTTTCAATTAATTTCCATTCAAACCATTTACAATTCAAATAAATGTTTTTTGAATAATTGTTTTCAAACAATTTTCTTGATGTGATCAACTTTCTAGAAACATCATTTTTTATACACTCCAAAGCAATATAAATCTGGCCTCCAAACTATAGTATTTATAGTATTGTTTGGAAGAGTGTGTGTGTGTGTCGGGGGGGGGTCATTTCTTTTCCCTTTCAGTTTTCTAACAAATTCCCTCTTGTTAGAATGCAATTCAATTTTTGTTTCAGCCCTAAACACAATTTTACTCCAATTAAATGTGTCCCATATTTCATGCATCTTTGACCATTAATGTTCATCATTGGGTTTTTAGCAGCTATACACTGGAAGAATGCATTTAATGGTCCTACTGTCACAGAATTGAACAACAAGAATTTTAATGCTAAATTAGAGTGGTCAAAGATGTATGAAATATGGGACACATTTAATTGGAGTAAAGAGCAAGAGGGAATTTGTGAAAAACAAAAAAAAGAAGACCAACCTCCAATTATATTACAAAGACAGTAAAGTTTGGAGGCCAGAGTATAATTCCTCTGGTCTTTTGAACATTTTCCCTTGTTCTCTGTTTAAGATTCATCCTCTTTCACTTCTAGTAGCCCCTTGCATCTTAATGGCATTATTGCCTTGCTTGGGGTGAATTGATTAAAAAAAAAAGTGGGCAGAATTAGAACAGAGTATTTGTCTGAAGAATCTTTGTAATGTTGAAGAATTATGGGGGGTACAGCCAAAGAAAATGGAATTATATACCTGTGAAATTAAGATATCTACATTTCTTCTATGGTCAATTAAAGCCATTATTCATGTTAAAGGAAGCCACACAAAATATGAACAATGTAGTTGTCTTTGGAATACACAAAGTTTTTTTTTGATTAAAAAAATTCTGTTTACTTGACTTAAGCTAAGTGGTCTAAGTTTTGCAAATATTTTTTTCTTCTTCAAATTTGAAACCCTTGAAAACAGAATTATGAAGTTTAACTTTGGGAATGACACTCGTAGAGTCAACATATCATCTGAGAAAAAAAGTGGCATGAAGCATTCATTTACAAGTAGATCATTTATTAAAAAATTATTATAGTTTAATGTTACCTTTTGCATGCTACTGTATTTCAGATCTTGGTGGTGGTTTTTAACTTTGCTTATATTTACAAAATGTGATCACTTATTAAAAATACTAAAAAGGTACCATATATACTAGTGCATAAGCTGAATATAGTGTGACTCCTGAATTTTACCACTCCAGAAAATATTCACCTGCGAATAGTGCAACTGGTCACCAAAAATGCATGGATTTTTAACTCCTTAAAAAAAAAAAAAATTTTGCATAAAAAACTGATTATAAAAACTCACAATACTTATGTATATAAAGTAACTTTTTGTTTTCATTGAAAATTGGGGTATATTTGAAATCCCAATGCTATTAAATTTTGAAATTACTCCAATATGCCAATTTTGTTTGGTTGTCCAAATGATCTGACTCCCTTAAATTATATTTTTCTCTCTTCAGAAAATGTCAACCTAATGTCTGCAAATCGTTTGTTTTATTCCAGAGTGAAAAAAAAGAAATGTTTTATCTGAAATTATTGGTTCAGTTTCAGGATATTTTTTTTACCTGCCAAGAGCCTCCAGGTGCCCATTTTCCTAACACAATATGTGGAATTGCATGTTCCTCTTCTTGTACCCAATGAAGTAAAGATGAATTTATAGCTCCTCTGTCAGCATCAGGATGAAGTAAGTGGTCAAATAATACTGCAATTGGGTTGGTTGACCGTCCTTCCAAGCCTTGGGCTAGATCATATAAATCCTGTAGTCGAAAAAAAAAAAAAAAAAAAAAATTTGTCTTTTTTAGAGGTGATGATTAACCAGTTGAACCTCCAGTGTCAATTTACTGACATCTTGGTCCAAGAAGAATTACACAACCATATATACAAGAACAATAAACCTGTTCATAAAAGCAAATTTGTACAATCCAGATTTTGCTCTTTGTTGATTTATTTGGTTACATTGGCATCAGCAAAATCACAAAATTTAATTCAAATATCCAGAGAAAATGCCTAGGTAAATGGTTAGGTCTCAGGGTTCAACAACTTAGTTGAGATTGAGAAGATGCTATGAAATAACTGACAAAAATGTTTACCTCAGTCTTGGCAAGAGAAATAATGGATAATGCTGCTTTTAAAAATCACTAATTTTTTTCAGTTATTTTAAAATTTGAATTTTTAACTGTTCTCTCCTCATCCAGACACCAATCCCAATGCTGGATGATCATGCACCATATCAAGGGCAGATTTTCAATCCTGTGATCATCTTGATTCTAAAAAGGTATAATAGGTCTATATAGAGCAAGTGTGTATCAAGTTAAAGGGATTTCAGACACAGATGGATGGACAGAATTTTCTGTTTATTTAGGTTAATGGCTCCCATGAAGAAGGCTGGAGGGCACAAAGGTCGAAACGTGATAAAGATGAAGATATTACTCAGAATGTAAGTAATGAAAGTTATTTAATCTAATTTTGGTGGTACCTTTGATAAGCTGAGAAGCATCAAAATTAGATAGCAACCAAATAATGTGTAGCAAAACCATACAAATCATAGAAAGAAACTTTATAAAATAATTTTCATATTGCTTTTATTATATGACTTGATCAGGAATTCACTTGTGGGGAGGGGGAAGGAAAGTTATTCGCCTAATGCAGTTCACAGAGTCTGATGAATTTATTTTTTTTAAATATAAATTCTTTTTTGGTTGCGTCAATACATATATTTCAATTTCATGAACATTAAAAAAAATTTTTTAATGGCTTTTTAATTCCTTTAGGGTTCTTTAATGGGGTTACATCAGTTTTAGTTTGAAGGTTGAGTCAGTTTTAAATTTATGTAGTGATAAGGCTGGTTTGCAAACAAGTTAAAAAGATAGCCATAAGTTTGGCTTGTACTGGAATAAGTAACTTATTTTTGGGACAGAAAAACGGAATCTGAGTTAATATAATATGCCTAAATCACATAATGTTCAAGATTAAATTGCAGACAAAAATTTGTTGAGAGAAAAAAAAAAAAAAAAAAAGAAAGAGACAGAAGAAAAAAAAAAGACAAGGAAAAAAAAAAAAAGAACAAAAAAAAAAAAAAAAGAGACAAAAAAAAAAAAAGAGAAAAAAAAAAAAAAAAGAAGAGAAAAAAAAAAAAAAAAGAGACAGAAGAGAAAAAAAAAAAGAGACAGAAGAAAAAAAAAAAAAAAGACAGAAGAAAAAAGAAAAAAGAGACAGAAGAAAAGAAAAAATGAAAAAAGAAGAAAAAATTGGAAAAAAAGGTAGTTTAACACAAAATTGTTTAATATGGCTTCATTGTGAAACAAATGTCACCAGAAGTATTAAAAAAAAAATAAATGAATGAATAAATCAATTTTCTTTGGAACAATTTTTACTTAGTTGTAAATGTCAAGTGGAGGTTGAAAATTTCATTAGAAAAATAAAAAAAAAATAAAAAAAAAATAAAATCATTACTTACAGCTTCAACAATTGACTTATTTTTTAAGTTGTTCAGTTTTTCTTCTAAGAATGGCACAGGATGTGGCATGCCATTGTAGTAGGGACGAAATCCAGACAGAAGAAATGACAGACAAATAGCAGAAGGACCATTGCCTGGCAGGGCAAAGAAAAAAAGAAAGAAAAAAAGTTTATTATAAAATGTAACTTGAGCAGATATATTACATTTAGATAATGAAATGCACCCACTCCTCCACCACTCATGACTGGACAAATCATTCAAAACTGTGTCTGTTTCTTGTTCATATCAGTTTGCACAAAACCTGGGAAAGATCTGTCATATGTTCACAAGGAAATTAAAAGTAAAAATATTGCTAGTGAGAAAAGAAAAGGTGAATCCTGTTTCCAATAAACTTGGTTATTTATTCAGAGATTTACTTGTAAGTAGGTGACACTTGTGATGACACCATCAACCTTCTGCCCATCTCTCTCTCTCTCTCTCTACTCACCCACAGGTGACTTGAAACTACTCTCTGTACCCTGCATGGATGGCATTGGAACTACTCTAAATTTTAATGGTGACTTTATATAAACTTTCAAGTGACACTTTTTAACTTCTAGTTAAGTGTCACTTGTTCTCAAAAGTTTTGTTATTTAATTAATTTCTTTTTAGTCAAGTGGGTAGCTACTTTGAAAATCTTACTTTGTAGATATCACTGTTGGTGATAAAGACACCAGACACTTCAGACTCAGGTTTGGTTTGGTTTATTTTAAGGCATTTCAATCTCAAAGGGTTATTTAATGCTGACAAATTTTTTCGGATAGGTTCAGATGGATAGAATAGGTATTCTTTGTAAGAAATCATTTTGTAGATGTAGGTTCCATTGACATATTTTTGTAAAGAGGGTTTTTGTTGAGAATCAAATGTATTGCTGGTAATTATTTTTCCTTCAAAAATTGGTTGCAAAACCAAAGTAGATAAGCAGATTTGGTAAAGAGTATTTTTTTTTAATATTTTCCTGTTGAGCCCCATTTCTTTAATGAAATTTATGATGTTACTTGAATCCGTATTTTCAAATTGGTCCTTTAAATTATCCGATTTGTAGAGTTTGTTTCAGGCTTGCTGGAAGTATAAGGTTCCTGGCATGAAATACATACTAGCAATTCCTCATTTTTTAATAGCTGTTGGTGGGTTATATATGTGTGTCCCATATGGAATCTGACTAGTACTACCTCCTCTCTCCTTGTCTTTCTGTAACTTGGCTGTCTTTCACTAATGATTGGTTGGATGTTGAATAGTTTGTTGTTTATACAGTTGTTCCATAATTGCTGCCATTTTTCTTTAATGGTCCTGTTTCTAGTGGGCCAGAAGTCAGTGTGTAGAACCTTTACATTTAACAGGGCCATGTTCAGCAATTCCTTTGCCATTTTGTCAGCTCTTCCATTTCCTTGTATGTCAATATTGCTTGGTATCCAGCATAGGACTATTACAGCATCTTTTCCCTTATAAATAGAGTCAATCCTATTTAATTATTTATTAAGGAGTTTCCCATGTTTTTATTCTTCAGAGCTGTGAGTACAGATAGTGAATCTGACTCACTGGATTCTATAATATCTAAAACCAAGAGTTTGGCTAAGGCTACTGAATTGAAGATTGAAGCTTTGTCAGGCAACTGTTTCTGTATAGTTATGTTGTTAAGGATAGCAGAGCATCCAACTCTGTCCAACATTTTAGAGCCATCAGTGTATACATGTTTATAATTTGGGTGAGCTTGTAGAACATTATCTTCCATGTAATCAGAGAAGTTAGAATTAATTTTAGGGTATTTACTAAGGTTTAGTAAAATTGTAGGATGTTCAATTAACCAGTGGGGTTTTTTGAGATGGTGGTTTTAAAAATTACTGTTTGATTTATTTGTTTTGCTGATGAGATTTTTCATGTAAAGGCCAAAAGGCTTGATAGCATTTTCTTTTTTAATCAAATAGATTTTTGTATTTCAGATTAAAGGTACAGTGATAGGCAGGGTTAGTTAGGAAGGATTCGAGTTTTAGATAATATTTTAATGCCAGTCTTTCTCATCTCAATTTTAATGGTGATTCATGGGCTTCAACATATAAATTTTCTATAGGTGATGTTTTGAAGGCACCAAGAGCCAGACTTAATCCTGCATGGTGGATAGGGTCAAGGGTTTTTAGGTAGAATTTCCAGGCCAACCCATATATGAAACATCCATCATCCATAGTTCAAGTTGATTCTTATTAGAGTTGTATATAATTTCAGGAACAATATTCGGTCTGCTCCCAAGTCAGTGTTAGCCACGACCCGTAGTAATTGTAATGTTTTGAAGCATTTCAGTTTTATGTATTTTAAGTGGGGGATGAAAGTAAGTTTTTTTTTTTTTTTTTTTAAATCAAAAAATTTGTTGGTCAGTCATTTCAATTTCTGTTCCTTCAAATCTGAGAGTTGGATCATTGTCCATTTTTTCAGATTGCAGAAATGGATAAATTTTGTTTTGGTTGGAGAGAATTTGAAACAAGTTTTGATAGTCCATCAGTAACTTATTTAGGCACAATTGCAGTTGTCGTTCTACAGTGTGCATATTTTTTTATCTCTAGCAGATCAAAAAGTCATCTATGTATAATGAACCATCAACACCTTGATTTAAGCAATTAACAATGTTGTTAATTTTTATGTTAAAAAGAATGACAGACTGAATGCAACCTTGTGGAACTTCTTGGATTTTTAGGTCCGAGAGAGATGATCCTACTTGAACCTTGAAACCTCTATCTGACAAAAAGTTATGTATCAAATTTGGTAATTTTCCATTTAGTCCAAGCTTGTATAGGTCTTTCATTATGCCATGTCTCCATGTTGCTTTTGCTCATCTATGTCCATTTCTATTGGTTCTTCAGTGATGTATCGAGTTGCGTTATTTCTTTTATGAACCTTTTGATTCTCTTGTGAATATTTGGAGGGTTCTATTTCTTGAAGGATTTTTGTACTTTGGATTGAGGCTTTCAGAGTTATTTGTTTTGTACTTATAGATTCTTTTTTGTTTGAGGTTGACAGGATAAGATTTGTTTTGACTATGGGTGTATACCAAATTTTAATAGTTCTATATATATATATATATATATATATTTTTTTTTTTTTTTTAATTCATTTATTAGAGTAGTAAGGTCTTGGTTTCTTATTGTGTTGTTCACTTATAAGTCATTTTGGTGATTTGTTCTTCTAGTAATATTTGCATATGACGTTAGAAGTGAGTTAGTTTTGACCTGTTTTCTAGCTTCTTGGAACAAGATGTTTTGTGTATTTTATTCTTATTATTTGCTTTTCCTTTTTCCAGATGTTACACTCTTTAGAATCTTCCAAGTGATTTTGTCTGGGCATAAGAGGCCTTTCACAGGGTGACTCTTTATGATCAGACTCAAATTCCCCACATCTTTGACAGACTGGTACTTTGATCTTGTAGATGGCCAAATTTGTGACACCTACAGGGATTAGGAATGTATGGCTTTACCTTGGCTATTGTATATCCTATTTTTATTTCTTTTGGTAGAGTATGTTTGTTGAATGTCAAAATGTACATGTTTGTGTTTATTGCTGTGCCATTTTTCTTTTTTATTTGTATTCTTTTGACATCTGTTACACCTTGTTTTTTAGAGGGTCATCATTTTTAATTTCTTCCAATGAGCAGAGTGACAGTTCTGGGCATTTTATTACTCCCTTAGAAGAGTTAAGAAATTGGTGGGGGTAAGACTTTACTTTCATGTCATTTATTTGGTTGAATTTTAGTATATTTTCTGTGTCTTTTTTGGTTTTTACTTGAATTAGGAGCGTGTTATTTTTGGGTTTTTTTTTTTAAAACTAATTTTGGTTCTATCATGGCTGATATAACCTTTTGTAACACAACAGATGACACTTGTTATTTCACCCTCTAATGATTCTATGACTATGAAAATTGGAATGAGAGGCTTGCTGCCAGATGCGTATGTTCTAATAAAAGCTGGGTCTTGGTGTGTCACAAGATAATTGATGATCCGTAAACTCGGATGTAATTAATATGTTGTAATAATATATAGTACTATGCAAGTAATAAGAATACACATATATGTAAAATGCAATATATGTGTGTGTATAATAATTTTCAACATCACCATAAGAATCCTCAACATGTATATGGTTGAATTGTTCATCTTGTGGTGATCTCTTTTGATGACATAACAGAAATTAAAATTTTGTTAATTTCAACATGACAAAATGTCCTTATGTCTAGAGTTCTTTTTAGCTCTCTAAATAAATAAATATGCAACCATATTATATTTTAATAGTTTCTTTTCTCGCACTTCACACTTGTGGAACTCCCTCCCAATTTCATGCTTCCCTACCACCTACAAACTTGAATGCAATGCCAATTGCTATCTTCTGTCTTCCTGATTCCTGTTCCTTTATTGTCTTTTCTCCTCACTAAAGTCTTCTCATTCCCTTTTGTTCCTAGTGGTATTTATTGCCTTTTGCTTAGGGTGAAATTTCAAGTCAAGGATCAATCATCTTTCATCCTTATTTTTCTAATCTGCACTTCTTACCACCTTCTTTTCTATTCATATTTGTTATACTAGAACATACCTATTCTATTGTAAATAGACTCTCCCACATATAATAAGTAGTAGTAGTAGTAGTAGCAGTCGCCAGGAGGGCTCAGTGAGTTGCTGAGTCAGTCAATGTTGGACATTAAAGTATCAACCACCACAACGAGATTGCTGCGTCATTAACTATTATTTCAAGTTCCTAACGTTTTATACGTCGAACCTTTTAGAACCGACTTAGTGAAATACAAGCCTCCACTGTGAAACTACTCTACAACACAATATTACACCCCTCATTCAGTATTACTATTTCTACTGTAATCTACTACTTTGAATGGCTCTCGAGACTTACATTGGCTGAAAGTATAATATATATATATATAAAGAAATATTGTTTTAAGGTGTGCTATATTTATGGGACAAAGTGCTCAATATCACAGATACAGTGTATGTAAATATAAAGGTGAACACTGAAGTCAACACTCACAGGTGACAAGCTGTTTCATGCTACATACATACACTCACGGCACATACTATTTGCACCCCAAAAGTTTTCAAATTCATTTGTTTATATATATATATATATATATATATATATATATATATATATATAATATTAGTGGTAAATATACATACATATACATATATATATATATATATAATATTAGTGGTAAATATACACATACATATGTAAATATATATATATATAATATATAGTGGTAAATATAAATACATATATATATATATATATATATATATATATATATATAAATAAAAAAATTCAAGAGGATAGTATCCAGGTAGAACTCAATGTCCAGGACAGAGTAAGGATATAAAAAAAAAAAGGCTTAAACACTAATATTAGTGTTTAAGTTTTTTAATATATATATATATATATATATATATATATATATATATATATATATATATATAGGTTCTTGTTGTTTTTTACATTTATTTATGTGGACTCACATCCCAAGTCTGCCATGTTTGTTGTGGGCATTTCAGGAAACGTGTTTATTTCTCAACCCTAACACTGATGTTACTAACGCCCACAATACGTTAGGAAACACATACATCAGATCACAACATATATACGAGTGTAATGAAAGGAAACAACATGAAAACTAGCTATAAGAATGTGCGTGTGTGTGTGTGGGTGAAATAAACATGTATGATAGATATGTATGTACGAGAGTTCAGAAGTCAACAGCAGAAGAAAAATGAACATGCCTCAGTGGCAGTGTTCTTTATCTACAGGGTGATTGAAAAGTAACCCCCTATTTTATGTATGATGGACTCTCCAGTCTTGTAAAAATTATAGTTAGACAGGAGAGTTCATCATACATAAAATAGGGGGTTACTTTTCAATCACCCTGTACATCTAGCTACATCTGGAACAAGTGCAAAATGAGGAAGAGAGGTATGCTTGCCTTTTTATAGACTTAAAGAGTACACCCTAATGAGTGTTTTTGGCAAAGCCAAGTGGGGTAACACACAAGGTACAATTTTTCATTTATAACCAGGTTGTTAGAATGGAATCCAGTTGCTAAGTGAAGAGTGGCTGTATTATTTCAGATGAGTATCTTTTTGTTTTTAATCAAAACATGTTGATTAATGAATTTTCTAGATCTTAGCCTTGTACAAGTATACAAAATGGTCACTGAATATTAAGTATTTTCAATGCCAAGCACAATTAACGTTTTTCAACACTTTACCTGTTAAGTGTCAAATAGCATTAATTACATAATATCCCCCTTTTTGAAATTTGCCCTTTATCTTCATTTTGTTCTCTGCTCCAACTAATACTTACTTTCCAGAGCCTCTGAGTAATCCATGTTGTTTTATTCTTGGTCTACACACATTAGCAGAAAAAAAAGTTAGCATCCAAGGTATTAAAGTAACCAGACAGCTGTTTGATATATTTTGAGCAAAATTCTAGTTTTGATGTGAAAAACCTTTGAACCAACTCTTGAATATGGTTTCCACATCAAAGTGTTTTGCAGTGATTGTAAAAATATAATAATCGATTGGTACAAGGTCAGGTGAATATAGCGAGTGTCGTAGAACAGACAACTTAGTTCCAGAATCCCCACTCCTGTGTTATTCTTGCTGTATATGTTCTTGCGTTGTTATGAAGAACAACATTTTTCTACTTATGATCTTATGGTGCTTTCAACCTGTAAGGATACAGAAGGTGATTATTCCCCTTTGGTGGATATAAATCACATGGGTCATGTGACAGACAGCTTAATGACATCACTTCATACAGTGACTAATGTTGCAGTCAATTTTCAAATTTGTTTACAGCAGACACCACATGACGTTGCTTTTTTTTTTTTTTTTAGTCTGGGTCAAAGGGAACATATCTTTCCCACATATAGAATGAAACTCCAGCTTGCAAAAACCCAAGACTTGCTGTTTTCTGTTCATGGAATATGTCCTCACCTGGGACATAGATGAATCTAGAGTCCTAAACATGACTTCTCCAGACACAGGAGTATCTCTATATTATATTTTTTTTCTTCCTTTTTGTTTCTCCTTACACTCTGCTGTGTAGATGTGTGTATTATAAATGCATCTCTGAGAATAAAGCATGTTTGTCATTCCTTTTACTTTTGGCTATTTTGTTCCGTCCATACACATTATATCATGGATATAATAATGCCTATAACAGGGGAACTACAAATGGGAGAATAAATCTTTCTTCCATAGCACTCTCCCATTACAGACCAAACTTTTATGGACACATTGCACATGAGGATGCTTGCTAAATAATGAAAGTTTTGTTACTTACCTATAATGATGACTTCCCAAGGATGAGGCTTATCTGAAAAAGTTGTTAGTTTAGGTGGAAGTGATGACATTTTTGGAGATCCAAGGCAGAAGATGAGGATAAATTTTGTGGAAATTTGAGTCCCTTTAATTATGCGTGTATATTATGGTATATATGGTAGGGTTAGTTTGTGGTTGATGTAAATCTTCTACCAGTGTCTGTGGTATTGGCAGTGAAATAGGTTGAAGAATTTATGGATTTGAAGAATAGCACCTTATTTTGTTTTTATGTGGAAAAAGTGTGCGTGCCAAGAAGCACTAATGGCAGCATAATCAAACTGGACTTTCAAAGAAAATACAGTAACATTGATGGAAGGCAGCAGACACAAATAAAAAAGCAGTCATTGTTAATTGAATATAAAGTAAAAAAATAATTTAGAGAAAGCTGTTTGTATTTAGCAGCATAAGAGAAAATTTGTCATCTCTTGAAAAAAATTATAGTAATAATGATGATGGCAGTGTTTGTGAATTGTAATGTATATTTGAAAGTGTAGTTTAAACAATGTAAGCAGAAGTTTGTGATTTATAACACAGCCACTTGAATTGGTAATAGTTTTTCTTTTTTTGGTGATTCTGTTTCACCTGAAAATAGAAAAGAAACAAAAAACAACTTAAAATGTATTAACAAAAAATTGTTATATAATCAAAATACATTTTTTTAGAATACAGAAAAATAATATAGTGACATATTGATAAAAGAAAGATACAATAGAAATTTAAAAGAAAAACAAAAAAAAACAGGAAGAAACAGGAATTAAAAAAAAAAAAAAAAGACCAGATAAGCCAATGGCTTAGTTATGCATGTATAATAACATTATACTAAAGAGTCAAAAGAGGAATTAAAAAAGAAAAAGGAATTAGGAAAAAAACAAAAATTAGAAAAAGAAAAAAGAGGAAAAAACAAAAATGAAAAAAAAAAGAGGAAAAAACAAGAATCATAAAAACGAAGAAAAAAAAAAAACAAGAATTAGCAAAAAAAAAAGAGAGGAAAAAAAGCAAGAAAAAAAAACAAGAATTAGCAAAAAAGAAGAAAAAACAAGAATTAGAAAAAAGAAGGAAAAGACAAGAATTAGAAAAAAGAAGGAAAAGACAAGAATTAGCAAAAAGAAGGAAAAGACAAGAATTAGCCAAAAAAGGAGGTAAAACAATTAGAAAAAAAAGGAGGAAAAACCAAGAATTAGAAAAAAAGGAGGAAAAAAACCAAGAATTAGAAAAAAAGGAAAAAACAAGGATTAGCAAAAAAATAAAAAAAAGGAAAAAACAAGAATTAGAAAAAAAAAAAAGGAAAAAACAAGAATTAGCAAAAAAAAAAAAAAAAAAAAACAAGAATTAGCAAAAAAGGAGAAAAAAAAAACAATTAGAAAAAAAAAGGAGAAAACAAACAATTAGAAAAAAAAGGAGAAAACAAACAATTAGAAAAAAAAGGAGAAAAAAAACAGAAAAAAAAAGGAGAGAAAAACAAGAATTAGAAAAAAAAAGTAGGTAAGACAAGAATTAAGAAAAGAAAAAAATGGGAATTGAAAAAAAATTAAAAACAAGAATTAGAAAAAAAGGAAAAAAACACGATTTAGCAAAAAAAAGGAAAAAACACGAATTAGCAAAAAAAAAAAAGGAAAAAACACGAATTAGCAAAAAAAAAAAAAAAAAAAACGAAAAAAAAAAAAAAAAAAAAAAAAAAAAAAAAAAAAAAAAAAAAAGGAAAAAACACGAAAAAAAAAAAAAAGGAAAAAACACGAATTAGCAAAAAAAAAAGGAAAAAACACGAATTAGCAATAAAAAAGGAAAAAACAAGAATTAGAAAAAAAGGAGGAAAAACAATTAGAAAAAAAGGAGGAAAAACAATTAGAAAAAAGGAGGAAAAACAATTAGAAAAAAAGGAGGAAAAACAATTAGAAAAAAACAATTAGAAAAAAAGGAGAAAAAAAACAATTAGAAAAAAAAGGAGAAAAAAAACAATTAGAAAAAAAAGGAGAAAAAAAACAATTAGAAAAAAAAGGAGGAAAAAAAACAATTAGAAAAAAAAGGAGGAAAAAAAACAATTAGAAAAAAAGGAGGAAAAAAACAATTAGGAAAAAAAAGGAGAAAAAAAACAAGAATTAGGAAAAGAAGAAAAAATGGGAATTGAAAAAAAATTAAAAACAAGAATTAGAAAAAAAAAGAATTTAAAAAAGTGAAAAAAGGATGAAAAGACGAATTAAAAAAAAGAAAAAAACAAGAATATAAAAAGAAGAAACAGGAATAAAAAAAGATAGTAAAAACAGGAATTAAAAAAAAAAAAAATTTAAAAAGGAAAATGAGGAATTAAAAAAATAAAATGTATATTTTATTAATATAAAAAAAAAAAAATTAAAATTTAAAAAAATTTGCAAAAAGGGGATTTATGCTAAAGAAATTTTATTGAATATACAACTTTATTTTTAGAAATTTAATAACAGGATGTAAGAAATACTCGCTAGATCCTGTTTTAAGGGAAACAGTTGGCAGACAACATTTCCTCTTGTCTCTCCTGTTCAAACACAGATATAAACCTGTTTGTATCAATAACCTGTAGATTTTAACCCAATCCCATATTCTAGAGAAGTAAATATATAACAATGTAAGAGAATTGAGATAAAGCTATGTTTAGTAGGACAAAATAAAATTATATTATCAGGTTTCTTTATTCCCATTTAAAGGATCAACTAAAATACAATTCAAACATTCACATATTTACTCTTGAAATTCAAATCATAACAGAAAAAAAAAAAAAAAAGATTTACAAAGCAATTCACAATTTGAAAGAATAGTAAAGGCATTAAAATGTTGCATATTATAGAAAAAGGTAGGGTACAAAAGTACAAAAACTAATATATAAAAATAGATATATGGTCATTTTATATACATATATTGTGCAACAGAATGCTTTTTCAGTAATGTCTATTCTAGGGCCATAGAAAGTTTCAGGTCCTCATGACATCAGACTTTCTCTCCCATGAGACTGCATGAAAGTGATCACTTCTCAGTTAAGATCTGCATGAAATGATATATTGTTTATTCAATTCTATAGAAGAATTCTCACCAATTGGAATTCATTTAATTTCTGACAGTGTGTGTGTGTGTGTGTGTGTGTGTGTATATATATATATATATATATATATATGTGTGTGTGGATTGGAATGACAAGATGAAGTACAAATAGGAAATGTTCAATCTAACATGAAGATGCTATTACTTTTATTGACTTGGAATTGATATTATCATTATTAATATTGTTATATATGTAGAGACAGACTATATTATTATTTTCATTTTTTCATTCTTTTTTTTTATTCTCTGATGAAGCTTTAAAAGTTAAACATGTTCATGTTAGATTGATAAACCTTCTATTTGTTCCATACTTTTATCTCCAGAAATACATTAGTCAATCATTATTTTTTTGTTGTGGGCAAAACAATCATCATATATAAGTGAACATTGAAGTCAACACTCAAAGGGGACAGGCTGTTTCATGCTAGATGCAATCGTCAAGCGTGGCCTGACGATTGCATCTAGCATGAAACAACCTGTCACCTCCGAGTGTTGGCTTCTATGTTCACTTTTATATTTATATTTACATACACTATCTCTGATATTGAGCACTTTATCCCATAAATATAGGCCACCTTAAAACTATATTCCTTATATAACATAGTTGTAGAGTGGATAAATGAAATGTCCAAATATAAGCAGGCATGTACGCATGTGCTGGTGTGCATACAAAGGCAAGAAAATAAATAATCGTTAAATTTATGCATGAGGTGTTGTCGTAAAGTAAACGCAAAGTTTTTCTTTTCCTGTGTGAGAAACGAATTCCTCGTCGCCAATGTGTTGTAGAGTAGTTTTCACAGTGGAGGCTTGTATTTCGCTAAGTTGGTCCTAAAAAGGGTCCGACTTACAAAACGTTAGGAACTTGAAATAAGAGTTAATGACGCAGCAATCTAGTTGTGATGGTTGATACTTCAATGTCCAGCATCGACTGACTCACTCAACACCACTGAACTCAACTGGCAACCACTACTACTACTTATTATGTGTGGGAGAGTCTATTAATAATAGAATAGGTATGTTCAGGTATGACAGGTGTAAACATAATAGTGCTCAATGCGGTTATACAGAGCAGAGATATGTATTAATTAGTACATATATGTGTACCTAAGTTTGTGGCAAGTAATTATAATTTCACTGGGTGGTGTTCCCAGTTTATCAGTCATGGGGTCTATGTTGCTGGAAGTACAGTGCCTGACAAACTGGGAACACCACCCAGTGAAACTATAGTTGTACACAAAAAAAAACAACAAAAAACGTAGGTGCGTGTATATGTAGTAATTAATACACACACATCACAGTTTCACAAGAAAAAAAACAAAAAAAAAAAAAAAAAAAAACAGTCAATGAGGTTATTTTGGGGATGATGTGCTATTTTTTTAAGCCAACAAGCAATCTTTGTAATTAAAATAATTGATACAGAATTCACTGGAATAGAACATTCATAATATTAAATAAAATTAGATGTTCAATTATCTTATGCCTACACACAATTTCACATCAATTACTATCACTCAGCAGGGGAACTGACTGTCAAATTTATTTCCAGAAATAATTTTTCTAATTATTATTAATCAATTTTACAATTAAGTCTTCTGACAAGTGGATATAATCACCATGAAATTAAGTAGAGACAAGTAAGCATTTAATTTTATTTACTGTTATAGATGATGGTTAGAAACATGTTAAATAACTTAAGGCCATTGCTGATAAGTTTGATCTATGGGTTTGGTTTAGTTTTTGTGATAATGACAATTGCTCTTTAAGCCAACAAGTGATTTGCAGTGATCATTTGCAGAACTGCAAAACTAAATTGTTCTATACAAGGCCTGGCCTGTTTTGTAAAATCTGTTCAGGTTGCTTTAAGTTTCCATGTAACTGAAGCGGTTTCTGCAAGTTTTCTTGAAGCCCACCACACCCAAACACAGTGCTGCTTGAAAGTTTATGTACCCACCAGACAGGGTCTTTG